CCAGGGCTCTGCCCCCTCCCCAAACGTGTCCCAGAGCGGGCTCTGCCCCTCCCCGGGGCTCTGCCCCCTCCCCAAACGCGTGTCCCGGCGCAGCCCCCCGTGTTTGCTCCGGGGGGGCCCTCGGCGCTGCGCGCTCCAGGCGGGACCCGCTGCTCTGCCGAGGAGGGACCTCCCCCCGGCACTGTGCTCCGGAGCAGGCCCCCGGTGCCCCCCGGTGCCCCCCGGTGCCCCCCGGTGCCCCCCGCGCTGCCCGCTGCCTCCTCCGGGCCGCCGGGGGGCGCTGCGCCGCCCGCCGCCCTGTTTACATCCGCCGCCGCTGCCCGGCCCCGCGGCCGCAGGCTCCATGCGGCGCCGCCGCCGCGCGGCCCGGCCCGGCCATGGACACGAGCGACCTCTTCACGAGCTGCAAGAAGGGCGACGTGGGCCGCGTGCGGTGAGCGGGACCCCCGGGGGGCGCCCGGCCCCGCCGCCCGCCCGGGCTGCCGCCCGCGGGGCCGGGCCACCACCGCCACAGGCCCCGCTCGGGCCGGGGCCACCCCCTGTCTCCACCCAGGGGCCCTTCCCAGCCTTCCTGGGCTTTTGCTTATTTATTTACTTACTTATTTTCCTAGGATTTTATTTATTTTTTATTTATTTGCCCGTTCCCTTAAAATTCAGGCCGCCGGGTGTCCGGCACTCGTTGGTTACCGCTGTTACCCATGGGCTGGCAGGTGTCACTGCAAGGGTCTCCCTGCTCTGGGGAACCCTGTGTGCAACTAGATCCGCGGAAAACCCTCGTTGTGGGAGCGTTTAAGCCCTCCTCCTCCTGGAGGCTGTGCTGGTATCCCTAGGAAATAGCCAGCTGCTGAATTTCGGCTGGAGTCTCCTTAATGTTGAAGAATATGGATTGACTGAAAGGGTTTCAGATGGGGAGTCGAAGCGTTTTCTTGGCCGCGGTGGTGAACCAATGTCACAAGCCAAAGACTGAGACAGTTTTTTGCTGCGTCTCTGGGTTTGAGTCCAGGATTGCTTCTCACTGTCAGTTCTGCTCAGGTCTTGTTCCTGTCACGTGAATCTCTCCAGATAAACAGAAAGAGGGGCGTGCTTCAAGGTGCTCGTTATGGGTAAACAGGCTGATGGAAGGAGTCTGTAGAGTGGTTATATCCAGTGTTTGTTGGAGTTAATTTACTGCTTGCAGTAAGTGGCATCTTTGTTGCGCGTGGAGAGGCTCTGCGCATGGTCTGGTAGGTGCTGTGATGTGACAGCCTGGAAGAGAGTGGGGAAGTGATCGGCCTGGGGACATTGTCCAAGCCAAGCAGATAAGAGGACAACATGAAGCTGGGCAAGGGGGCTGGTTGGAAAGGAGCTGAATTGCTTTGGAGCTTGAATATAGTCAGAAAAAGCTAAAGTTTGAGACTGGAAAACAATGGAGTAAAAGAGGGCAATGATGGGGTGGATCTTTGGAAACCCTGAGGGGGAACCTTTACAGGTGGTCAGGGGAAATTGTGTTGTGGTGACAGAGGACACACTGGAAGAGGGGCCAGCTTGCACAGGACATCTGCATCATGGCCAAGGCAGCTTCTAAGGTGCCAGGGAGGAAGAGCTGGCAGCATTTGTTTAGTCAGGCAGTCCAAATTTGCAGGGCAAGGAGGTGACAGGAATTAAGGACAGCCTGGAGAGATCAATGTTGTTACTTGTGACAGCAAAAGCCACAAGCAGGATGGGAGTCCAGCTTTGGCCTTGTAAATTTGGCCTCTTATTTTTAAGTGTCTGGACTGTGAGTGTTGTAGAAGAACGGGAAGGAGATGCTGGAGGGCTCAGACTTTGTTCATGGTTGGCGTGCCGTTCGGGGTGAGCAGGAAGGGAGCTGCCAACCCATGTGGCAGAATTGTCCTCTTCAGGTCACCGCTGTGTGACCAAGTGATGTCCCTTCAGCTATTGCTTCCCCAAGTCTTGTACAAAGCTCTTGGCCAACCTTTGGGAGTTCCTGTGCAAAACCCAGGGTTGCTTCTCTGTAGAGGGGAGAATGTGGCTCTCTGAGCAACTGCATGAAGTTATAACTTTGCTCTTCCTTCTCTTCCAGATACCTTCTTGAGCAGCGGGATGTGGAAATCAATGTCCGCGACAAATGGGACAGTACCCCGCTGTGAGTGCTGCAGCGCCGAGCCCTGCCTGGGCGGGAGGGGAGGCCTTGCCTAGGAATGTTACTACAAAACAGCTCCGGTTCTGTTTTGTGCAAGCTTTGGCCAAGTATTTTTTGCTTCTCTCCTTTGTGCATGCTCTGCTATATACGTATTTCTCCTCCCATCTGGATTTCTGTAGAGTGTTCAGTGTTCAGGTGCATGGTTTATTTTGTGACAGAATTACCTGGGTTAAGCAGTCTGTTTAGGAGACTTCGATTAGGCTTTTCCCCCCCGCCCCATCAAACCTCGTAATATTCTTGCATGTCTTTTCAGGTAAAGACTTTGCTTGATATGCAAAGTAATTGTGTGATCACTGTCTTCTGGGGCTAGAAACGTGCAGTAGGCAGTGGAGAATCCCCTTGCTGATACTGGAAGGATGATATAGAATTTGTAGCTCCTTACATGCTGGTTTCGAAGCACATTTAGATGTCTGCAGTATACTTAGCATATGGAATGCCTTGTCAAGGTGGACTAATATTTGCCTGCTGCAGTGCAGGTTACAAGGCTAGTTTGTTGGATTATTTCAGGACCTCACGTGGAGGAGAATCATAGAAAGCTTTGAAGAAGAGGAAAAATCAAACCCACCTTAAACAGGACTTGGAGAGGAGCATTTGCTGTGCCTCTGCTGTGAGTGCTGTTCCCTGATTATCCTAGTGCAGCAGCACTGACGATAAACGTGAGAATGCAGTGGAGTTGCTCAGTGCTCATAAACGAGCTCCGTTAAAGCAAGGAGCGAGCTCCGTTGGCAGCTGGCAGTGCAACAAAAGATGCTGAACTGAGACGGGGACCTTGAGATCTCCTTGCAGGATGGCAGTGCCTAGCATTGCTCAGGACGGATCCTGCGTAGTCTGTTGCAGGAGCCAGGCTTCTGTGCTAGTGAGGAGCAATTTTTTGCTTTTATGAGGGATCATTTTCCAAAGCTTATCAGTAACAGCTCAGGGCTGAGGTCTGCAACCTTCAGTATACCCCAGCACTGAAATTTTCTTCATATTGCATCTCTAATTTTCTTTCTCTTAATATTTCCAGGTATTATGCCTGCCTGTGCGGACATGAAGAGCTCGTACGCTATCTTCTAGCCAATGGTGAGCAAAGACATCCTGCTTATGGCTGCCATACCTTCCTCCATAGAGGAAGACATCCCAGTCTGTAGGGATTTTACACCTTCTGGCTGTCTCTATTCTTCTTCTATTGTAAAACCTTCTTCAGTTATAAACAAATACCTCATCAGTGATCTGAAACTTCAGTGGGAGTCAGCAGTCACCCTGGACCCACTTTTTTGGTCCTTTCCGCAGATTACTTGCTTGAATTTGCTATAAGGAAACTATCTCTGATGATTCATTAAGCAAAAAGACTTTTTTGAAATCACAGATGATGTTTCACAAAGATATGTTACTGTTGGGAAAGGATTGGTGCAAGATATGTACCATATCTGGACAGCTGCTTGTGTAAAACTTTTCCAGTAGGCTGTTGCTTCATACACTTATATGACTTACAGGTGAAATGCAAAAACTTTTACTAATTTCAAACAAAGAAAGGAATTTCTCAGGAAAAATGGTTGTCTGCCTAGTTCCCAGCACCAAGATTCCCCCAAGGCTGTGCTGATGTTCTGCCTTGTGGCAAAGGAAATGGTGTGTGGAGTTGGGTCTTGGAGGATATGTCTCTTCCAGTGCATTTAGCACAGCTCGCTGACCACCTCTAGTGTTCTGAAATAAGGAAAGGAAATGCCTGCAAAACATTATGGTCAGCAGGGGACCCAGTGAAGCTTGTGACTAGTCAGAAGTCATACCCATTTAGTGACACACAGGAGGCAAAATAACTGCCTCTTGGGCTTGCACTTTGTGTCATTTTGCAGGAGCAAAATGTGAGGCAAACACTTTTGACGGGGAGCGTTGTTTGTATGGAGCTTTGAGTGACACCATCCGGCGCCTGCTGAAGGAGTACAAGCAGATCACTGCAAAGTGCATGAAGAGAGACTATTACGATGTCTTCCTACAGCGGTAAGCACATGGGGCAGCTGCACGTGCAGCACATTTTGTTACCCTCTTAGTTGCTATCTTGGATATTCAAGCAGTCTATTAAGGGGGGGTTAAGTGGATACCTCTGCCATCCCGGTGTGTGCAGGGCTTCCTGCTTGCCCTGGGGCTGACTTCAGGATATGTGTGCCCATAAAAGATAGGCTTGTGTGCAGACCCTGACCCAATGGAAAGCTGGGCTTTCTAATGAAGGCTCTTGTCCTTGACAGTCAAACCAAAATCAGATTACTATAAAAGCCTCAGTGATTTAGGATAGTATGTCAAGTGAAATTAAGTTTCAGGCCTGAAGTGCCGTAGCCCACAAGCCAAGGTTTCCAGCAGTGATAATAGGTGTCTCATTTCCAAGATAACCAATTAAGGGCTTTTTAAAGAGCTCTTATGGGGGAAGTGATCAGTTCTTTGTTTTTATTAGAATTTCATTAAAGTTCTTTCATTTTTAAGATGGTTTTGAAAGTAGCACGTCACATTTTGGAGTATTAACATAGAGTTTAAAAACAAATCTAATTTGCTTTAGAATTAGAAGAATAGTGCTAGTTTTTTGTATCATTACCTAGGTAATTCTGATGTTATTACATAAATGTCTTTTTTTCCTTTCTTTGGACTGACGTTTAAAAACAACAAAAACAACAAAAACGTTTAAAAACAACAAAAAACAAGTTCAGTATCTGTGTCTTCCAAGTGTGAGAGCAAACAAGTCCTAGAAAGATCTGAGATTTTGAAATTCTGAAAGTTGTAGGAGTAAAAAAAAACAGAGGAAGAAAAGTAATTTATTTGAGTAAAACTAAATTCTACTTTTCAGGGAAGTAGACTTGTTGCAAGGTGGTTTTATCACTACTTTGCTGAGCTTGTGAATCAGTCAATGCAAGGCTGAGCTCACGTAAGAACTGAAATGCAGTGTTCTCTGCCGCCCTTTCTAAACAGACCTCAATGATAAAATTGCAGCGAAGGGCATCAGAGGGGGCAAAAATAAACAGCTTTGATAATCATAAAGAGACCCTTTGGGTGAAGATCAAGTGTTTAGGCTAGTATTATATAACTTTTGCTAGGATCTTTGGGATGGAGATTCCCCTTCTTGTCATTTTGCTTTGTAAAGACAACCTAATGCAAATGTTAGTGTTCTTAGGTTTGCCTGGTTTTGCGCAGCATATACTAGGATGAATTACACACCAGTTAGATAAGTTTACAACTTTTGGAAGCTGCTGATACTACTGTAAGCATCAGATTAGTGAAAGGTGTCTTGGCAAAACAGTCTTTTAATGATTCCTTCTCTGTACTCTGTAACCTGTCTGTTTAGAGCCTGCTTGTACCATGTCACCTGCTACCATTTTTCCATTCCAAAACCCAGATATAATCCTGTTTCGTTACTCAACACATTTCCTCTGCCTTTGTTCCTTACAGGTTGCTGGAACAGGGCTATCAAAGCGACATTGTTTTCATTGTCCATGGCAAATCTTTCTGTGCCCATCGCTGCATCCTCAGCGCTCGCAGCGCCTACTTCGCTGAAATGTTTGAGACCAAATGGAAGGGGAAGAACATGATAGTGTTGAAGCATCCGCTGGTAAGCAGGGTTGTGCTTCCAAACCGTTTTTTTATGTTTTACTCTTTCAGCTGGGTGAGAAAAGTGAGTGGGAAGGACAGTTCAAGGCTTAACATTGACTGTGAATAGGTCCTGGAGCTCAGAATGATTGTAGTAAAGGAGAAGGGCTTGTGGTGGCACTTTGTGCCCAAAACCAGCATCTTACTCTGCTAGGAAAAGGCTGTAGACTGTACCCTGCCCTTTGTGCTCTCTGCCATGGGCGCAAACACGTCTTAATTAGCTGTGGTAGCAGGTAGTTGTTACCATCTGCCAGCTGCATCTCAGCTCCGCTGTGGGGTGAGTTTGAGTCTGTCTAATTCCTGGTGGACAGGTGGTCTGCAGCGAAGACATCACCTCTATAATTGGCACTAATTGAGTCTCCTTTCTTGTCTTTATGGCAAGAACTAAATAGGCCATAAGTGCCTTCTATCCGTTAATCCTCAGCACTCTGGCATATGTTTCTGTGGTTTGATTGTGCCTGTTCAAAGCCTCATGGGCCTCTCTTGTGACAAACACACTTGCGCTTTCTAGGACATTGCCTAATGTCTCTCCTTCTTTCCCCTTGTATGATATGAACAGGAGAGATGGAAATGTTTGGGTAAAAGACAAGACTGGTAAAAGATCAGACTTTACAGAGTCACTATTGTAACTGTCTTGTTAGCTATAAGCTATAGCATCTCCATTAGTCAGATTCCCTAGGCACATGGGTTAGTATTAGTTAATACATTTGAAGAGCTGTTTAAACCAGGTGGAGTGACAGTGTTCATTATGTGGGGAGCAGGGAAATTGTCTGGGTAATGAGACTGCTCTGTCTGAGTTTTCATGGGACAGCTATTGCCATACAGCTGTTAGCCTTCAACTGACTCAGGACCATGTTTGTATCCAGGCAAGTTTTAAACTTGTAATGTAAATTCCTGGGAATTCTAAATGTTACTTTTTAAATTTTATTTTAGATCAATCCAGCAGCTTTTGGCTCCCTTCTGCAGTATCTGTACACAGGTAAGCCATTGCTGTCTAAAGTGTTTGTATGTGCTGGAGGGGTAGTTGTTGGTGCCTCTGCTGTGGCGCTGTTTGCAGGACACAGGTTTGCAGGTAGGTGCGTTTGGGCATGTGAGCTGCTAACACATCCTCTTGGCCGGCAGGAGGGGAGAGTGTGAGCAATCCCCTGCTCTTCCAAGTTGGTTGCTCTTCCAAGTTGGTTGTACCTTTTGCCAGTTGTTTGTCCTGCCAATGATTACAGAGTCAATTAAAAATCAGCTTTGGCAGAATTTGGGTGGATGGATGTAAAAGATGTGTTTTTAACTTAGGAAAGTATATTTGTCATCTGGGCTAAGGATCTCCAAAGCTGCTGAAAAGCCAAGTTCAGTCTGGCAGGCCTGAGCTCTGAATACTAAATGATTTGACTACATGCTAATACTTTCCCTGCACAGAAGTTGTTCTCAAACCTTCAGCCAAGGTACTGATAGAAATGTAAGTGCTGAACTATTTCCTGCCAGGAGGTGGTGCCAGAAAATAACTTTTATCTTCACAGTTTCATTTCCCAGTTCAGTGTTTTCACCAGTTTTTCTTGCATGTCCTCAGCAATGGTAAATGATTCCTGGATGAGAGCCTATAGTCCTGAAGTCTTTCCTCACCCCAAACCAGATACCCCATAGTGGCAGTTATGCCCATGTCTGTTCTGCTGGTCTCTCACCTTATCCAAGGGAGAGAATTAGAGGTTTTCTGTCTGTTTGGCCTCTTGAATGAAGATGTTGTGGTAGAAACTAGGAGGTGGGAATGTGAATCAAATGTCAAGCTGAGATTCACCAAAGTGATGGGTGGTGGGGTGCCAAGTATTAGCTTCTCAGACTTTGTTGGAACCAGAGGATGAAAGCTGAGGCGTTATATCTAATCATTCAGTTTCGGTGCCATCAGGGCTTCAGTTTTCTGGTTTTACACCTAAATGGTATGGCTTCTAAGAGCTGGCTGCATTTTTTTTCTTGTCAGGTCGTCTTGACATTGATGTAGAATATGTGAATGATTGCAAGAGATTAGCCAAGCAGTGTCGGCTGCAGGACCTCATCGATGATTTGGAGACCAAGTGTAAAAAAGTCTATGAATTTGGTAAGCTTTCTTTTTAGCAGTTGTTTTCTCTGCTGACTCTATATTCATTTTTCAGGGGGAAAGAGGAGAGTATGCTGGTGGATATTTTATCAGCGATGCCCTCAGTGCTTCCAGAAAATGAGTCTCTTGTGGAGTCCCTGTATTTGCATGATAGTTTTCAGTCACAGGCTGTAGAGCTGCAAGAGAGCATGCATGTCCATCATTTGTATTGATTATCTTCGTTACAGTAGAACAGCCCTGGCAGCAGGGCTTTGCTGTGCCTGGCGGGCATCTGGTGTATCCGATAGTGCTTCTCTGGGCAGTGCCTTTCTGCAAAGAGCTTCCTTAAATCCCTGGGGAGATAAGTGTGTGCAACTGGAAGTCCTTTTCCATGTTTAGATGATTCCTAACCAAAGTAAAACATCTGATAATTAGCCTAAAATGAACGTTCTGTGTGCAGAAAGGGATATAATACGTCTTAGAAAGTACAGAAATATTTAAGAAAACATCATTATTTGTAACACTTGTGTGCAAGCTCTTAACTGATACAATCATTTATTTAAAGGCTTGCTGTTAACCAAAAAACTTGTGGGCTAATCATGACATCGGATTATTGCATGAAAACCAACAAGCAGTGTTAGTCATTAAGTCACAAAGGATTATTTGACAGCGAAACCTTCAAGTTGAAAACATCTAATTCTCACTTCATGCACTGGGTTAATTCCTTCATTTCAGTCAGGCTAATTTGGGCTTGAGAGGAGAATCTAGTCCATAACATTAAAGTCATCAGCATGTTTTTCCTTTATCTAGGAGGTAAGGCTGTAGCTATTCAGGCTTTTCTTTCTGAACAGTGATTTTTTTCAGCCCCCTGAAGTTGCATGGTTTAGCAGATGCAGACAATACTTCTGATTCAGGAAGTTTCTCAGCTGCAGCTCCTGTGGAATATACTGCTGTGTATTCTTCCCCTTAGGCATATCCAATTGTTTGTTGTTGGTAGGATATTAGGTTACCACAGTACAGCTGTTCTCATATAGACCAGGGTGCAAGGCCTTACATAAAAGAAGCTGTATCGAAAGTCTTGCCTCAGCTGTGTAAACACCTCTGAAGAGATGTGAAATGCATTTCTTGGTTCCTTGCTATAGATATGTGTAAAGTATTACTAAATAATTATCTGTCTATTAAATAGGTGATAGAAGAAGGGAGGGATGATGAATAGCATGCCTAGAAAATAAAATTACCGAGGCAATTGCATAACAGAACTATCTTTTGTCTTTTTTTTTTTGTATCCAAGTAATCCAGTGATAGCAGAAAGATCTGGTTTTGGTGGGTTGGTTTGGTTTGTTTTTCAGGGTGTAGCTGTAGTATGTTGTGACCATTCTGGTTTAGTCCATTAAGATAAGTCTCAGATTGTGCAAAGAGGTGGCTGGTTTGCTAGCTGCTGACTGAATCCACTGCACAGTGTGTCACTGTCGACTTAGTATCGTGAAGTCCAGGGGTTAAATCACTGAGCTGCAGAAACACTGAGTTCTTGGGGTGCTCAAAATTAGAACATGGTAAAGTGACATGTAACATTGATAAATCTGTATGTGCATCTTGGATCTTGCGTGGGTACTGGGAAAACTGTTCTGAACTTCAGAAAATAATACATAGAAGAGTTACACAAGTCAAAAAACGAGAAAGCCCTTTGGATGTCCTGACTGGCACTCGTCAGTACTGTTCCCTCTAGAGCCTTAGGAATCCCTGCTTCTTCAAAGTGTCTTTTGTGACCTCGATTCATATATGCAGAGCATCTGACCCTGCAGAGGGTCATGTGTTGCCTCGTATAAAGCTGAAACATGCTTAATAAACCAATGTGAATTTAAGCCTCTGCAGCCCCAGTGGATAATTGCATTCTCTGCAGTCTCATTGTGCAGTTAAATCAGCATTTCAGAAGCGCTCCGTGTCTTGGCACGCACGGGCAGTAGTTGAGGAAACCCCTGCAGAGGATGACCCGACGCCTCCTGTTGCACCTTAGATATTTATCTATGTGTGTCTGTGTAACCGCTTGCCTGTTTAACCCACCTGCATGTTGTGGCTAACAGACCTGTTGCAGTGTTAGGAAAAGCTCTGACAGGGTTTGTCCACGTGAAATCATAATCCTGATTTTAAAGGTGGAAGCATTTGATAAATGTTTCAGTATGATTTGTATATGTAAGGCCAAAAGGCTTTTGAGCAAGGTTTGTGATACCTCTGTAGCAGAGGCCCTGCGTGTGTAGAATTGTGGATGTAGCCAGTCATGGTGTTGTGAGTAGGATGAATAATGCAGGTATCTGAGTTTTGAATTTTGGGGGGATTTTGGAAAGTTGTTCTTAGTGTTTCTTTTTTTTTTGTTTTTTTTTTTTTTTCTCCTCCTCTTTGAGTGATACATTGGCTCCTTGGAAACAAAAGACTACAAAGACGTATTGAATAGTGAAAACAAAGGCAGCTAATGAATCCATGGGTGACATTCAGTGCTCTACAGCTGGGCTAGAGTGGGAAGAAAAACAAAACACTTCATTCTCAACTGTAGCTGGGTTATTCCCTCCAGCTCGCTGCATTGTTTATGTTGCTCTTTGCAGAAAACCCTCCATTCCCACATTTTGTGAGGAGGTGATCCTTCCCAATGCTTGCTTGCAGGCAACATCTTTTTCCTATTCTAGTGCTTAGATTTTTTTCCTCTCTTCATTGGAATAGAATTGCCTGTGATAGCAAATGCTGTGCTCTTGGATTTGAGACCTGGACTGCCTGAAATGCCTTGTGATATATGTGCTTCTTGGAGGTGTGACTGTTCTTTTGTGTTGCTCAGAAAGTGCTTTGTAGATCCCATCGGGAGAAGCCTTTCCCTTGAGTAGTGTTTAAGCACAAATGGAAACAGCAAGTTTCAGAGAGCCTGGTGAATTTGGGAACTCTGCTCTAACAGTCACTACACAAATATAGATGATGCTCTGCTCAATCATAAAGAATTGCTGATTGCACAGGGAGAAATTTTCTCTCCTCCTGGTCTATAAGCGGGCTCTTTGTGAAGGTGCAGCCAGTCCTGTTAGTGGTGGTGTGAGGTCTCCTTCTGGGCTTATTCACTCCAGCACCTGTCTGAATTTAGACCTACCAGAGCCTCCTGTCTCCTCACAGTGCAGCTGTGTGTAGCAGTCATGGTACCAAGTCGTCTTGTGTTGGTAGATTGTCCTGCTCTTTCTCAGCTCTTCCTGAGGTGTTCAGCCTGCTGGAGATGCAGCGGTGGCAGATGTGGAAGGTACTCCGGTAAGGTGGAGGTGGAGAATTTGTTTTGTGGCACATGGCGGTGTTGTTTCGCCCACGGCCCAGGGGAGTCATCTGATGGAGCTCGTGTAGCGCTGCGCAGAATGTCATGAAAGAACGAGGTCTCGGGGTGGTGTGATTCACCTGTGAGGAGTCTCAGTGCGGTGAATCATACCTGTCAGGAATCCTTCTGAACACTTCAGCGTGGGGCCACATAACACTTTTGTCCTTGAGACTTAACTTCACTTCTCTGTGGCTACTAAGAGCAGCTCAAGCCTCCCTGCACCGCAACTTTGCATTTCCAAGTGGTGCTCCATGCCTCTCACATGCTTCCCTGTATGCCAAGAACTCCAGAATGTTTCACATGCCCCAGTGCTCAGCTCAAAGCAAGGTGAGCTGAAACCAGACCAGAGATGGTGGATGTGGCGGGGAGGTGGCCACAGGGCAGCATGGCTGGGCTGGCAGCATTTGTACAATGCAGTCCACTATTTCAACAGACTTCAGGGGTGCTACCAGTTTGGACCAAGAATTATTCACAAAGCTGAATCTCCACAAAGCTGGAAGAAATTCCCAGGTCTCGAGTTTTACAGACTATGCTTGGTTATGTTAGAATACTTGCTTGGGTTGCCGTTCCCCTGGAAAAGGCATTGCAAGTGCTACAGCAAGCTGCTTTTTCTGATATGGGCAGGGCAAACAAGGGGAGAGATGACAGGCTTAAATCTCATGTCTTTTGTGAGATGGCAAATGCTTTTATTCACAGTAATTTCAGGAGGAACTCCATGTCTTTCTGTGGGTAAGATGCCAGTTTTGGAGCAAATTGAGGACCTGTGCTTCGGCCTCAAGAACAGCAACCCCTTCTCTGTGAATGTGGTAGCAGCAGGGTGGTCTCTACCCATGCAGCAGGGTCTAATTTAAAATAAAGGGGTAGGAATGCCTGTTCTAAGTGATCTCTGTGGCCACTTTGGTTATAGCAAGACCCCAAAACAAGGTGCATATATTTGGCTTCCCTTTTGTCAGCCTGCTTCCATGCAAAGCCTGTGGAAAATGAATTTGCCCCCTCCATAAGGTTTACTTGTTCTTGTAGTTATTTCATGGTTGCAAACAGCGTGGCGCAGTGAGGAGTCCGGGTGGTTTGGAGGTCTCTGTGTTACGGGATCTACCAGTGCAGAGCAGAGGGCGCATCCTCATGACCAGCCTCTATGAGCTACACCAGGCTGTAGCCTGGAATGAGGTTCAGATGCTGTCGCTGGAACAGGACAGAGGGGCTGGAGACAGACTTTGTTTCAGCTAAATGCTCCCAGCTGTGGACTCCTCCGCTGTCAAGCTGTCACTGGTAGGGATGGCTGCTCGTGGGAGGCAGGATCGGGTCACCCTTTGGCTCTTACGGGGTCGGGGGCAGCCTGTCGAGGACAGCCCTTGACTGTAATTGATGACAAAGGTTGCAGAGGGCAGAGTGGCTTGAAATGTGCTTTGGGCAGCTCTGTTTGCTGCATTTAACCTCTTGACGCAAGGAGCAAGTGGAAGTTAGAGGAGGGACAATAGAACTTGTATCCCCTTGCAACCCTGCTTGTTGGCTGCAGCGAGGGCTGCTGTGTGCACGTTTGCATGGAGGCATCACTTGTGTCTGGCAGTCAGAGCCACACAGCGAGAATACTTGATATTCCCTGGAGTTTTTTCTTTTCTCTAAATGGGAGAGAATCTTTGCAGAGGAATTTAGGCATCTCTGCTGTTTTTTTTTTGTTTTGTTTTGTTTTGTTTTTTTTTGCTTCTTCCAGTCTCTTCCAAGCCAGGGACCTGTGTGAAAGTGCTGACGATTGAGCCCACAGGTAACTGCCGGCTGCAGGAAGATCTGGCTCTTCTAGCAGACTGCGCCCTGCCAGCTGAACTGCGGGTAGGGAGCATTTATTCTTCTTACGGTCTCTGTGGGGCTGTGATCCGTGTTCACATATGTTCATTCTCGCTCGCTCTATTTGGCTTTGGTGGTTGCTTATTTCTCGGTATTAATGCCCCAAGCCAATTTTGCAAATACTAAAGCCTTTTATTGCCGGGAAGGGCTGTAAAATTGTTAAATGAGGCTGTGTGTGCAGGTCCCTCAGCAGGGATCTGAGTAAACCAAACCCCTGCCATGCTGTTAGCGGGAGTTTCCCGCTGCCCGCAGGGGAATAGGGGTTGGCCTCCTTTCCCTCTCCCTGCTACTCCTATTGAACATGAGGAGCACTTTCTCAGCAGGCACATGTGCCTGGAGGGATGTAGAGATGGAAGGTGGCTTGCTGGGCTTGCTTGTTCGGAGCGGCCCCCCGGCAGTGCTCTCAGACCCTTCAGCAGAAATGTGAGCCCTTCGGAAGGGAAATTAGCTTGACTGACAGGGCGTTTGCTTCCTGTAGTTACTCTCATGCAGCCTTAGAAATAGCTCACAACACATTGATGATCACTACGCTGAAATACCATCAGGATTGTCAGTTAGACTCAAGTATGTAGATCTCTACTTCCAGTTGCAGAGGAACAGGATAAATATTACTGGTCTTCATCCTCCCTGCATTTGCTGTTCTGCATAATATCAGCAGATATGCTTTGCTCTTGTCTGTCTGTCCCTATTTTCTATTTTCCGTAGCAAGCAGTGAATTAATAATACAAACTCCTTTGAGGTGGCTGCTGTGTCCAGAGGTTGTGTGAGTGAGTGAGTGAGTGATGAAGCAAAGCTTAGTGTTTCCCTCCTTCCCACCCCGCCAAGCTGGACCTGACTGCTGGAGAGGTGGGGAATTGTGCCGAAGCAGAGAGGATCCTTCACACTGTGTGTGAATGAACCCCGCACTTCCACTTTCCTCTTGAGGGCTAGAAACTCTTTATTTTTAATTCTTCAATGCAGAATAGGAGCTGGGAGAAAAATGTGGTATTTGGGATAATATAGCAGCTGACATTGCTGTGGATTTCTGGGAGTTGTGATTTCCTTACTGTGTTCTTAGATCAGTGAGAAGGCAGTTACAGTAGCTTTAGTCTTGTTGTGGCTGGAAAACTGAAGAGGGCTTGGGCACACATTTATTACTGCAGAATTTATGCCACTAGTGTACTAATGTGGATGGTTTGTTTGAGCCTGGTTAATTCTAAAAGATTCTCCTATTTTGCTTCTCTTTTCACTTTTTTTTTTTCTTTCATTAACTTACAAAGACTATATGAACAAAGATCATCATGCTATTGCCATTCATATCTTTTCTTAATGTTTGCAAACTGTTAAATTCGGTGAAGTAGGCTTATTTGTCTTGGGACAGAGGAATCCCACAGTTTCCTGCTCAAGGATTTTGATACCATACCATGCAAGGGAATAGTAAGTAAATCATTTAACCTAAAATGTCAGGGGCAAGTGAATCATCACATTCAAAAATCTACATTCCTGAGAGAAACATTTGCCTGTTTTCCAGCCTATGCAAAGCAAAATTAGTATTCAGCTTCTGGATAAATGCCAACATTTCAGGTAGTAATCAGAACTTGATAAGGAATGTTCTGAACTGCTTCATGTCATACAAGGCTGTATGCAATGAAATTGGTATGTTTACAGGTTTTCATATTTAAACAAGTAATTCATGTGTAATACTTTTTGTATTGGAGTGACGCAGGAAACTGTGAAATATCTTAATTTCACAGTTCAGTTACAAACTATGTGATTAAAACAAAATTAAAATTTTAGTAAAATTTGATAATTTGATGTCTTTGACATTCAATCACAGTTCATTATTAGCTTTTAAAGTAGAACTGTCTATTCTTGGAACTCTTAAAAATGCTTGTAATCTTCCTGCCCAGTTTTTCGTTCCTGTTTATACTTGGAAGTATTTTCTTTTTCCACGTATGTTTTTAAAAGCATGGTTGTCTCTGTTTTGTGTCAAACTAAAAATGGCCAGAATCTTTCGGGCCGCAGCATCACATTCATCAGTAAAGCTCCATCAGAAGCCAGATGGTTGTCAAAATCCTTGTGGTTTTCCACTGCCTGCTGGGTGACCTCTGAGTTAGAGACTTGAGGAGTTTGAGTGTAGGAGACCACAGGCACATTGCCTCCTTTTAGCTGTTTTTTTAATTCCCTTTGAACTGAAGTCTTACTTTCCAAACCAAAATGAAGTAAGACCTAGAAGGATCAGTCTTCCATGAAAAAAGACTGTTTTTTTCCACCTACATTGACAGTGCTGCTGCAAAAATGTGACCATTTGTCACCTTTGGTGGAAACCTAAATTCTGTAATGCATAGAAAGAAAACTTTGGAAGTTGATTGGTGCCATCCCGTGCATCCATCTCTGCCCTGTGGGGAATGCTCTCTTGTGAATGTGTTTGTGCCTTGTAGACTGGTCTGTCTGTGCTTCTTGGGCAATATGCTTAGCTCTGACAGCTGTGCTTTGCCTAGACAGGGGTGTGCTCAAGAGGTTGCTTGAATGGGAGGTGGAAAACACTCCTGAACTTTCTGCAGGGAGCCCCTGAAAGGGAGGGAGGGGAAATTTCTCACAGTGACAAGGAAGGAGAGCAGAGAAAGTCGAGAAATAAAAGGGAAGACTCTACAGAGGCACTTCATGCTGAATAGCTGAGACAAAGCCGTGAACCTGCTTTTGTAGCAGGGGTTGGACATGACCTTGTAGCCCTCAGTATCAGAATGGGACCAGCCAGAGCCAGAGGCAGGAATCTGAGCCAGGATTTTGCAATCAGGAGACAAACTTTGACCTGAATAAAACCCCGTGCTCATATCAGAGGCATCTCAAGATCTGTATTGGGGCAATGAAAGGGGAGCAAAGACGGGAGGTGTGTAAAGTTGGGGAGATCATGTCTCAATCTCGATTTCTTGCATTGTGAAGAATGGCACCGCATGGAGAGCCTTTTCCTGGGTGTATTTTTCTGTGATAGGCCTGTGAAGTTACAGTGCTGAAGGTCATTACAAAGAGAATATGTGCACATGTTCTTAACACAGAGTGGCGATAGCAACGTGACAAAGAGAGCAGGCAGTTGCATTGTGCTGTCAGCTTTACTAACAGGGCACCACGTAGAACGTGCCTGCAGCTCCTAGCCTGGAGCTTCTTCATTGCCTCGAAACACGAGGTAGAGATGAGAGCAAAACAGCAGCCTGGATCTCCCGAGGGGCACCTGGAGCTCACCTTGGATGTGGGAGAGACCTTTTATATTACAGCTATATAAAAAGCAGTAGTAATAGATGAGGTTGGGAGCGGGGCAACAAAGAGGGTTCCCCAAATCGCTGCATTCTTGCAGGCCTTAACCTGCATCCTCAGAAAGCCTCCAAGCAAATTTCCTCAGTTAGGTTGGAGGCAGGCACGTTGGAAATGGTTCTTATGTAGTCTGTGGCTGGAAGAAGAATTTTTATGGTTGGTCAATGGCTTTCCCTGGTGCAAACTTGGAATTAACCTTCCTGCATGAGAGGCAGTAGAAGTAAGGTGCTCATCCCAGGCAACTCAGGAGCATGTGTAAGGGAAGCATGAACCCGAGGAAACTTCTCTTCTGTTCCCAGAGATTAATCTTTCTGGTTGCATGTCTGTGAATATAAATTTTGTTTTTTCATAGCTGAATTACCTTGTGCATAGAATGAGCTGAAAGTGAAAATACTTGAAGGTGTCACTTTAAAAGAATAGAAGGCCGACAGATTTTTTTATACTGCTTTTGTTGGCATGTGGGACCGGAGGAGGTGTGTTGGTGTTAAAATAATTCACCAGAGCATTAATACTGCAGCAACACCGTCTGTGGCTGCAAATCAAACAAGAAATTTAAAATGTGCTTGGGAAATGCTGCATTATTTGAGCAAGGCAGTAGTTGTAGCCAAACCATTTCAAGCTGGTTTATACCTCCATCCACCCGTATAGCTACCCAGTAACATGCCAGTCCTTAGCTGCAGCCTGCTTATGGTGCCCATACGTGAATTAACTGAGTAGAGGTGATGTGCTTTCCTCGAAGGCACAGGAATGCTTTCCAGAGCTCCATGGAAGCTTTCTGACCGCTCTCTACAGAGGAAACAGCTGAGTGGTGTCAGCAGTATCTCTGTCAGGATCCAGTTAGGAATCCAGGCCTTGACACCGAAACCTGTGTTGGGAGCATCTCTGTGTGCTGAGGGAACAGACGGGTCTGGGAAGACTGAGAAGTCTCAACTTGGGGCCACACTGAGGGTACTTACCAGGAGTTGCTGAGAGCAGGGTTTTATGTTTCTCTTTGCAGGTTGGTTTCGGGGAGTTGCCCTTTGACAGCACCGACAACTTTAACAGCTGTTCTGATGTGTGTTTCCGAGTGGCAGATTATAACTTTCTGTGTCATAAGGTAGGTGCTTGTGCTGCGCTTCATTCTTCTCCCCTTTGCCCCGAGCCTGCCTGCCTGTCTCATTCAGTGCTGGGTACACCCGGCAGAAGCAGCATTGCTTCAATTAGCTGGAAAACCAGCAGTCTCACTGCAGTTGGAGACTATTTCTGAAGCACTTAAACCAGCCAGTCCTGCCTTTCTTGCAGAGGTGAGGAGGTAGTTTAATGAATTGAGCTGCAGCATTCGCAGCTGAAAAATCTCCTCCTGTTGGCTTATGAGTGCAATGTTTGGAGAGGAGGTTGTTTGTTTTGGAAGTCAGCAGAAATAAGAATGGATTTTGAGTGCTCACACTAAGCCTTCTGCCCTATTCTGATGGTAATTTTGAAACCTTTAACTTAATAATGCAGGATAGGTATATTTACAAATAGGGCATAGTGGGGTAGGGGAGAAGAACCCTCTCCCCGATTGGAGATGCAGCTTCAGAAGGTGGAGAGAGTCAGTGTTACGTAGTCAGGACTTCAGAAAAATCTTTGAGCTGCTCTGGCGGCTGTTTGGTTAGTTCTGTGGGACTTGGTGCAGTGGGAAGAGGTACTGACGTTCTCACCTCTCTTCCTTTGCAGGCATTTTTCTGTGGTCGCAGCGATTATTTCAAAGCCCTCCTTGAAGACCATTTCTGTGAGAGTGAAGAGCTGCAGACGCAGCCCAGTATCCCTGTAGTGACTCTCCACAACATCACAGAAGATATTTTCATCCGGGTCCTCTACTACATCTATAGTGATGACACTGAGGTGAGGGCAGCCACGGAGCTTTTCCTCCTTTGCAGTTTTATTCTGGAGGTATTCGCAGCAGTGCCTTCCTACAGCCTGGCCATGGAAGTGGTTTCTTAAATCTTGCTGCCCTGTTTTGGCTACTCATATGTCTCAGGAACTCCTATAGTGGGACTTGTTATTAGCCAGTAGGGTCTGGTTTGTGTGTGTGATATTCAGGAAGCAAATGTATAGTCTTTCACTCCATGGCAGAAGCTTGGAAATTGGTTTGCAGGTCGTATTTTGGTCTGATGGAGTGCCAGGCTTTGCAGACTTGCCCTGCGAGGGCTCTCTGGAAGGACAAGGTAAGCAGCTGCCACTAGATGGCAACTGGAACACATTTGGAGATGTGGGAATGTTGGAGATTTCTGCTTATTTACTCTTGGCATCACAACCCTCTTTTCCATTTGTAGCAAGTCATTACTGCCACTGTTATTTATTGCTGGAGTGGGCAGAGGTTCCACTGGGAGACCAAAGTCTTGCTGTGCTCGGTATCGCAGGCAGCAACAAAATGACCTCAGCCCACCCAGTTTGCAGCCTAATGGAAGATGCAGCAAATCGCCGTGTTTAGGCATCCTCCTGCTTTGATTTTCCAGCAAATGTTTTCCACAAGACTAGCTACAAGATGCGTGGGCACATGGTGGCACTGAGGCAGTGAGCAGGGACACTTCCACACCTGCCAGTGTCACTTCTTCCAGGCAATATTAGTGCTCCGGCTTGGGTGCCATGTAGGGAGAGCACACACAGCTGTGACCTTGTTTCTGCTGACCAGTTCCACCCCAAGCACAGCAGGGAGAGCGATTCAGCAGGCAGAAGGGCAGGATTGCTGGTGCTGTTCCAAAGTGCTTCACCTGTCTGCACTCTTCTCTCCACCGCCCTCTGACAGGGCAGGCAGACAGGCAGGGAAGTGTGGTGACATTTGAGGACTCTCCAGACCCTTGTGACAAGCACTGCAGCGTAACCTTGTTCCCCTGCCTGCCCGTGTGGTGCTGACTCGCACGAGGGCTGTTACCCAAGCAGCCATCCTCTCCAAAGGGTGCCTGGGCTCTCCCTGTTTGGTAGCCGAGAGCTCATCTCGGAGCGGGAGGATGGGCCAACAAAATCCTGTAGGAATGAAGAATGTCTTGCTTACATGTTTCTTGTGAGGAATGATGCCATCATAGAAGCTAGACTGGATATCAAACTGAGCAACAGACATAACCTTGTATGGAGAGTTCATCTGTCTTGAAAAGATGCTGGAAAAAATGGTGAAGAAAGCAGGAATATAGTTCCAGTTCACATGTCTGTGTGGAGTGCTTTTCCTCCTGCTTAGGTTTAGCCAGCCAAGTGTCAGCACTCCCCATTCCACTTGCTTTTTTTTTGAAAAAGATTTAAATTCCTGTCTCTGCCTTGTAGCAGTGACAGTGCTTGTAGCCAGGACGAGGAGCATGTGCAGAGGACAGGAGGGGTTCCAGGCAGCCAGAGAGTTTGCTGGTAAGAACATGTGTGGGGGCTCAAGGGGAGCTTTGAGAGAAACGTTTGCCAGGTCTGTCCTTTATCAGAACAGTTGGGAGCTGCTGCCATCAAGACCACTGCCTCCAACGCCTCCAGCCTGCGCGTTCCTGGAGCTTTATGAAAGGACAAAGCAGCACTTGATGGATAAGCCCAAGAGCTTTGCTGTAGCGCTCTGGCACGGCAGGCTTTGTGGCATGCCTCTCGTAGAGGATTTTGCATCCTTCTGCACAGCTGTTGCAGGATGTTACACTGCTGCAGCATTTGCTCTGAGCAGGCTCAGCGGTCACCGGTGTGGACAGCTGCAGGGGAAGAAATACTTGGCTGTGTGCAGTTGTCAGGACGAACAGCCACATGTGTAGATGTGTGCAGCAGTGCTTTTGCTGCTGAATGGTCCTGGGGTGATGGTCCATGCAGCAGCAGAGTTGCAGTTCCCTGCTCTGGAGCTGCGTGGCCCAGTCTCTAGGTACAGTGATGTGGCCTCCTCCAAAGCCCCGGGGTGCCTGCCGGGTTCACTGTTGAGGTGCGAGTGGGTAACTCTTGGCACTTGATGTTAGCAGGAACAGAACCGTGCAGGAAGACTCCAGGGCCAGGTTAGTGAGGCAGATGGCTGATTGAAATAGGATTTGCCCAGCCAGGGGAAGAGACTGAGTGAAGCTGGCAGTGGTGTCTCCAGTATTACCTACAGCATTTCTTACCAGATCGCTTGCAAGGAACAAAAATACCCAAGAGGGAAACAGGAGGACGATTTTCTAGCTCAAGAGTCTGAAAGCATTCAGTGCCACGCACAACAGTGAGCATCAGGTAGCTGAGTTTAGTTTAGCCGGTTTGAATGCCTAGCAAAGCCAAGTTTATTTGGAATGAGGTTCTCTGTCCTTGGAGGTATCCTTGTGCTGCTGGGTTTGTTCTTTGTGCTACATCCAGCTTTGATACAGATGTCAAAATGTTCATGGTCTTGAAGGTCCCATATGCATCAAGGATAGATTTGACCTTCTCTTTCAGATACTGAGATGTTTTTTCAAGAGTTTTGGTTCTGATTATAACTGGTCGAGATTATTGCTCGTTGGGAGCTGTGTTCAAAGTAGAAAAGAGGGGCTGCTGTCCTTCTGCATGTTCGTTGATCTGAGATCTCTGCAGTGCTTGTCCTTGCAAGAGGGCTGTGGTCTGTACAAGCCAGCCCAGTGAACATTTGTCCATGGATATCTGCTACCCTGGTGAGCCTTTACTGTGATTCAGGGCTTCTTTGTCCTCATATCTTTTTTACTGGTTGTGATTTCTCTCCATCATAGGAGCTGGGACACAAGCTAGTGCTTCTCATGCTCCCCTCCATGCCATCAGACTCCTGCTAGGTCTCTGGTGTGATAATACCTGGAGTTCCCAAAGGGCATGAAAATGGGAACAGGAGGATGAGCTGGCTGATGTTTAAGAGAATAGTGTGTTAGGGGCAGGGGGAGTGGAGTGTTGCTCCGTGGGGAGCCATGTGCAGCAATCTAAACCTCTGCCCGTCCTTGCAGGGGCTGAGTGGAAGACCTAGCCTGAAAGACTGAACTCCTGATAGAGGAGTGGGTTAGCACTTGTCCTCTAATGGGCCAAGCCTCAGTTGGGAAAATCTCTGCTAGTATCCAAGAGAAGAGGGTACCAGTGGCAAGTGGAGAGGGCAGGACAGGGTGGTAACTCTGCTCTTTTCGCTGCCAGCTCTCACCAGAGAACGCCTACGACGTGCTGTGCGTGGCAGACATGTACCTGCTGCCCGGGCTGAAGCGCCTCTGCGGCCGGGCCTTGGCCCAGATCCTCGACGAGGACAACGTCGTCAGCATCTGGAGAATCGCAAAGCTCTTCCAGCTGACCCGGCTGGAGGACCAGTGCACGGAGTACATGGCCAAGATCATCGAGAAGGTATCAGGAATGCCCTCCGCTGCACTCGCCATATGTGTCCGTAAATCTGACTCCACAATGAGCCGTAGATGTAGACAGGTTTTATGGCTGTACTTTGATCTTTAGTAATAATTGACACCTCTGGCTTGATACAGAAGAGCTGCAAGAGTAGCAAAGCAGATGTCAGGTGAGGATTGAGGCCAAGGAGTGTGGTGGTACCTGCATCACTGCAGTCAGTTGGATGCTGGTGGCTGTTGAGCATGGCCTGCTGGCTGCAGACGCACCCAAAGAAGGGGTAAGAGCTGTGGGCAGGTAGCTGTGCTGGGGTCAGGGCCACAGTGGCTGGGACAGCGGCAGTGCTGCTGGGGGGCAGCAGCGGCACAGAGTGCAGGGAGCCCTGCTCGGAAGCCTGCTGGGCATCTGCCTAGCCTGGTGCTATAGAAATGAGTGACCAGGGGGATGGTCCTCACCCTCCTCCAGGATGACACATCTGACAGCAGAGGTTTCCATAGGGAAAATAAGGTTTTGCTGAAATGTTCCCCTTGCATTCTCCTTCTCTAGCCTAAGCAGGAGTCCTTGGCCCAGCACTGTAAATGTGCCTTCCTATGGGTGTAAATCCAGAATCCCTGGATTTAGTCAGTGTGGGCGCAGGCAGAGCTGCTGCCTTGCTATGACCTGCCCGTCACGGTGGCACTGGGGCTGCGAGCCGTGGTGGGGACAGCGTTATCACCTTATCTGTGGACCACCTTGTCTGTGGTTGCAGCTCTCAGCTGGGCACAGGCTCCCTCTGCCCTGCTGTGACACTGCCCGGCGGGGCCTGGCAGCCTCTCCTGCCTCCTAACGACTAACAAAGTGCTTAACGAGTGTTGGGCTGTACTGTGTGGGGTGCAGATTCCTCACGGGTGTGGCCATTTATTGCTGGAGTTCTGTGTCAGGACTGCACGTGCACTCAATGGCATCTACAGATGTGTCTCCAAGTGCTGCCAATAGAAGGCACAGGAAGATGGGGATCTCAACATAGCCTTAACATTCCTCTCCCTCCTGCAGGCTCCACAATGGCTGAGCCTATTATCCCGACCCCGTTGCATCCCATTACCTGCCTTCTGGTGTTCCTGATGTTTGTCTTGTCCTTCCCGTGCAGCTGGTGGAGCTGGAGGAGTTTGTGGCCGCGGTGAAGGAGAACGCGGAGGCCGTGGAGGAGCGGCAGGAGACCGACTCCATCCCCCTGGTCGACGACATCCGCTTCCACATCACCAGCAACGTGCAGACTTACAGCGCCATCGAGGAAGCCAACCAGAAACTGGAAGCTCTGGAGAACCTCCTGGCCAGTATAGGGCTCGAGTGCTGATGTGCGCAAACCCTGCCTGGCCTCTGCAGCCCTCCACAGTGAGCACACCCCGAGTGCAGGAACATCTGAGTATCTGAATGTCCCTTTTCCCTCTCCCTTGTCCTCCATCCCATCCACTTCCAGGCATTGTTTTTTTAATTTATTTGTCTGGACATTTGCATGTCTGGTTTGTGTTTGGTTTTATTCTGGTTTTGTTTCTCCTTTCAGAAGTAGCTCCCCAAGCACAGCCCAGTTCAGTAGCTGCCGCTTGCACGATACAGAGCGGGTAAACTGGGGGTCACTGGGATGAAGGGAGCTGCTGTGGGGAACTTGCTGCTTCCCTGCGTAAGGACCCATCCTCTCCTGCTGTCCAACCACACTTCTCACCCAGGTACTTGTTGTGTTGCTACCAGCAGAGGCAGAATCTGGATTAAACTCCAAATCAGCAAGGAGCTGGCCTTTCATTCGCTGTCAGGGTTGTGTTACAGGGCAGGCAGGGCCTCCCTAGCAGGGAGGCAGGAGCACTTGGCTGTTTGGAAAGAGCTGTTGTCACCTGCTGTTGTGGTACTTAGGTGAAAAACACCACCTGATTTCCTGTCTTCCCTAGCTCCTTGATGCCTTCAAGTGCTGGCATTTGGATTTGCACACCTAGGGGAGTGGCAAGACTCACGCTCTAAAATTCCTGAGTTCTGGCAGATGGACAGTTATTTTTCCATCAGGAGCATAGGAGCGATACGGTGTTTTCCATGTGTGTGTGTGGTGCACAGGCTCAGAAATTAAAAACTTTACTTTTTGAACACAAGTCTTTGGGAATACAGCAGAGACCTTCTGTTCCGAGAAGGCAGTGACTTTTGATGCACTAAAAAGGGTTCAGGAAGGTCCCCTTTTCGTCCTGGCAGGAGAAGGAAACACGTTCTCGGAATTGGCTTGTGCTGGTAGATGGGGGAAGAGGGGCCTTTGGGGCCTGTGGCAGGGCAGCTGTCCCGCTCCTTGACCCTCTGGCTTTGCTCAGCCTTGAGCCGTGTAGCTCTGCAGGGAACAGTTTGTGCGGTGGGTGCTGAGGATTCTGTTCTGCAGCAGGTCGCGGTACCTCCTGGCTCCTGCTGAGGGGACGGGGCCCTGTGCGCCCGCGGTGCCCGCGCCGCTCCGGAGCAGCTGCCGGAGCCTCCAAGGCCGCGCAGGGCACGTGCCGCTGCGCTGGGAGCTGGGACGGGGAAAAGGGCTCGTGTGAGGCACGGGACCTGCTGCCGGCCCGTGTTGATCCTCCTTTCAGTCACTTAGGAGGCAAGAGCCCAAAATAACCTGGAATGGGCACCTGGAATGGAACCTGTGGAACGGGCACAGGTCCCGTGCAGCCCGGGCACGGGGGTGTTCCCGTGGATAAGGGAATGGAGGCCCTGGGAGGATGGGGTGCATCGACCCTGCTGCTGCCTCCTGCTGCAAACACACGTTCCCAGGGCGCGAGAGCCCCGTGCGGGCGGCCCTGTGCCCTGCGGCAGCTGCGCTCCCGCAAAACCCTGCGCCAGGATCGAGCCCCTGCACCAGGACTGAGCCTGGGGACGGGCCTGGAGGGGCAGGAGCCACGGGCAGCGACACACCGGCCCGGCCGCCTGCGTGCGGGCCTCTGTGTTGTCCTGCTTCCCTTGCAGGACAGGTCCCGATGGGGTCGGGTGAAGGCTGCGTGGCCACCGGGGCGGTGGGTGCCTTCAAACCACCCCTGTGGAGCTGCGAGGACTCCCTGGGCTCTCCCTGCGCGGCCGTTTCGGGGGTGCGGGAGGGCCCCGAGCAGGGGGGGTCCCCACACTGGGAGTCTCTTCCGCGTGGGGCGGCGCCTGGGAAGGGGTCTGGGTTTGTGGTGCAGCTCATGGAACAGACGAGCACCTCGGGGAGCAGCTGCGAGCCCAGCCTGGCTGGGACGGGCCCGCCAGGGAGCTCGGTGCCCCGAGCTCATGGGAGCCGCTCACGGACCTGGCGGGTCTGCGTGTGAAGTGCCAGGGACTTAGGGAAGGGCGGGCGGAAGAGCAGAGCTGCCCGTTCCGCTGCTCTGGGAGGTGTTGGCTCAGGAAGGGGCCCTGCAGATCACCATGTTTTTCCTCCTTTTATTGCTGAAGACGACAGGGAACGTGAGCAGGATGTTTAGCTTATCGCCCTCCCTCTGCTCTTCCTGCATAAATTCCCCATCCGACGTCTCCGTGGTCGGTTTCCCGCCGCGGCGGCCGCGTGAGGAGCCCCGGGCGCAGCCTTGGTCGCTGCTGGCTGAGTGGGACACAGTGACTGTCCCTGCAGCCACCGCCGCTCCTGCAGCCGAACAGCGGCCGCGGGGGCGGCTGCTCCGCACGGCGGCTCCCGCTCGCTCCTTGGCCGCATCCCGAGCGGCGCGAGGGTGGGAAGGGGGCCCGGCCCGACGGGCAACGTGTGTCTGTCCACACTGCTCCCATCCGTGCTGCTCCCGTCCGCGCTGCTCCCGCCTGCGACCGCCGCCACCCTGTCCCAGGCTTGTGGTCCCGCATCCCTCTCCCTTTGGCAAAACAGGGCAATGAAAAACCACGCGGGAGCAGACCGTCAGCACACAGGCAGGCTCCGTAATAAGGTGAACCAGGTCATAACAGATTGGCATTCACTTGATTCTTGTTGCAAATAATTTTATCGCAAAATTTTAAGAAATATATGTATTTTTTTCTTCTGTTGCCAGTGTCCTTTTTTTGTGTTCTGTTGCCTCTGTCCTTTTTATTTCCTACTAGCCACCTGTTGAATTAGGGAGAATGTAAAATTTATCAGAGCAACAATATATATTTAAAAAGAAATGTGCAAGCATGTGTGCAGCAATAAAAAGCTTTATATTTCACTACATCTTTCTGTTCTGTGGCGTGTCTTGTCACCCCTGCCAGAACTGTTGGTGCTTCTGTCCTTGCTGACGAGTTTATTCTTCTCGTTGAATCCAAGGGTGGGGATTCCTTAGGCTCCACGGAAAGTTGCTTCCCTCGCTGACCTCTGCTGTCCCCGGGACTCGTCATTTCCACCCTCCGAAGGGTCGGGTCTCTTGCTCCGTGCCCTGCCCTGGGGCGGCCGCGGTAGCTCCCGTGCGGAGCGGCGGTGACGGGGCGGCCCCGGTGGCCTCGGAGGGTGGCTGGGGCGCGGGAGCCCCGGGCGTCCCTGCAGCTCTTGGGGGAGATGTGACAGCGTCCCCGGTGCTGGTGCTGTTGGGAGGGACGTTGCTGGGGAAAACTCACGCAATAATCGGCGAACAGAACCCGCGGGGAGCCTGGGGAGAAGGCGGCAATGTCCTCAAAAGCCTCGGGCTGTTGGGGTTTGGTCCCGGGCGAGCTGCAGCGCTGGCACATTCCTGCCGAGCGCCCTGTGGCTGCTCCTGGTGCCGCGGCTTCCCCCTTCCCTACAGGCGCCCGGGCCGCTCGATCCCCCCTTGCGATGGGGGCACTGGGTCCTGCACGGTCGCTAGGGACGAGCGGGTCCAGCTGAGGCTGCTGCTGAGAAGCGGAGGCTGCTTCGGGACTCTCCTCCCTGCGGGTGCCAGTGCCACAGCAGCAGGTTTCACCCTGCCTTGGAGCTAACCAGCTTTGACGTAACAAATTTACTAAGATAATGGCAACCACGGGGGCGGCTGCTCCTCCGAGGAGGCCCCTTTGCCGTATGGAGCTGCCCGGCTCGCGGCTGCTCTCGCTGCCTGCCTGGTTATGTGCTCGGGGAGCCGGGGAGCGAGCGCCGTGCCAGGGTCAAGCGGGGCAGGCTGAGCAGAGCGCCCAGGAGCGAGGAGAGGCTGGAGCAGGGGCTGTGCCCAGACCTCTCGCAGGGAAGGGCTGGTGTTTGGGGGTGGGCGGATGGTCCTTTCTGTAGCTCCTGTAAGAAAGGTCCTGTTTGGAACCCAGAGGGGGTCAGGGGCCGGACACGGCAAGTTCTGCAGGGAGGGAGGCCGGGGGGGGGGGCTGCAGCCGCAGCCCTGGAAGCTGCTGCGCCCGGCGCTGGGACGGGGCACAGGGGCAGGACCCTTCTCGTCCCGTGGGGAGTGTGGCAAGCTCACAAGTTGGGCAGGGTTTGCAGGGTGTTTTGGGAGACTAAAAGCTCTGGAAGGGGATGGGTACCCAGCAAAGAGCCAGCCCAGGCCCCAGGGCTCTGGGGAGCGCGCGGGAGCTTCCCCCTCCCTCCCTGGTCGCGGCAGAGCAAGCGCCGGGGAAAGGGCAGCCCTGGGAAGCGAGACCGACTGCGGGCTGGAGCCGCCCCGTTGGCTTTCCCATGTCTTGTCTCTGGAGGCCTGTGCTGCTCCCTGGTCGCCAATACAACAGAACAGGAGGCCTTGGGGCTGATCTATCAGGAATGGGGGTTTGGAGGCCGGGAAGGCTGGAGACTCCGCAGGCCAGGGGCGGACTTCGGTTAAGGCCAAGCCTTAGGTGAGGCTACGAGACTGGACACCTCCGTTCATGGGATCTGGGAAATGGAGAGGGGCATCCTAAAGAAATCTAGATTAACACCACGCAGCCCCCGCCGCGGGGCTGAGCTGACCTGGTGTCTCCTCCTGCTCGCTGGGTTTTCTTCTGAGGCGGCCCAGCACAGCACTAACATGGCTGTGAGTTTTCTGAAGCGTCTCTCTGCCCCAGGACACAAAGCTGAGCTGTTAGGTGGGAGTTTTAAAGTGAGGCTGCTGGGGGCAAGTTCGAGCTCATCTCCCTTCCCTCCTCCACAAGGAGCTGCAGCTGCTTGGAGCCGCGTGGGGCTCTCCTGCCGCGAAGCTTCGGGGTTAATCTTGGTGGCCTTAGGGAAGCTGCTGGTTTTCAATGAAAGCCCTTGCGTGTTTTCCATCTAAATAGAGAGGCGACCATGAAGTGAAGCTGCTGTCCTTGGCAAGCCGGGCTTTTCCCAGAGCTTTTCCCGGGGCTCTGCCTCGTGCCAGGCCTGGCCCCGGGCCAGCGGGTTCCCTTGTCCCTGGTCACGGCCCCTTCCCGCCTGGGGGCCGCAGCCCCCGCTCCTCCCTGCCCCGTTTGCCCGTGGGCCCCGCTGGACGTCCTGGCCTCTTCCCTGCTCTCCCCCGGCCTCGGGGGCTTCTCGGCCAACTTTCCTCTAGTTAGACGTTAGCGTGAGTTTCGTGCCTATCATGCGATCCATCCAAACTCTTAATTAATCCCTTAGGATTTTTTTTGCCGCGGTGCTCCACAGGCCCACAGGCCTTGGGGAGCAGGACAGGCTGCCCGTCCCCATGGGCTGCGGGCCGGGGAGCAGCCAGGGGCCCCGCGGGACCCCCCGGTGCCGGCCACGGTCCCCGGCGGCAGCGCCCGGCCCCGCGCCCGCCGCGCTGAAGGACGCCCTCGCTCCCTTCAGAAAACATAACTTTATTATCCGCTGCAATATACATTGTATTCCTTTAAGAATCCTAGACTTGTACATGTTTTTTCCCACTGAAAATACATGTGTATGTATATATGTCTTTTTTATATATATATATATATGTATTTAATTGAACTGGAACACAGTGGAAAGAAGAGAGGCAAGCTCAGAAATAACGTGGCAAAGGAAGTGTGCTCTCCGCGGGTTTGTGCTGGCAGGGCGTGAGGTTAGTGGTACAAAAAGGGCAGGTAAAGCCAGAAAACGTCGCGGGGGGGACGCGCTCCCCGGCTGCTCCTGCCCGGCCCGCAGCACCCGCTCCGGCGCCCTGCCCTGCAGAGGCTCCCTGCCGTTCGGAAGCATTGCCCTCGGCGGCAGCCCTGCTCGCGGCTGATGTGCTCGGCAGAGGAGGCGCTTTGCTCCAGGGCAGGGGCGATGGAGCCGGGTCAGCAGGAAGCAGCTGAAGTGCAGGGCAGGGGCAGCGGGAGGGGGGCACTCACGGGGTCGCTCCCGGCTCGGCTTCCATGCGGATCCCGCGTGAGGAGCCGGAGGTGCCCGGCAGCCCCCGGCCCAGTGCCGGCAGCTCCTGCTTGGGAGCGTTTCCCTGCACTCGTGTTCCCAGAAAACAGCTTCAGAAAAGCGGGTGGGCGTTTCTGGTTTGTTATGTTGTTTTTAACCTGAACTACATTTTATTTTTAACCTGGTTTTTCAAAGGTGGCTTCCCTGGGCCACATAACCCGTGCTGAGCTTAGCTAGGCAGGACCATGAGCCTTCGCTTGGCGATGTAAGTGCTTTCGGAGGCGCTTTAGCCAAGGCGCTGCCTGCAGAGCTGCCTGTGCCCGGGCTGGGGGCTCCAGCTGCAGCTGCTGCTGCCCACCAAGTGCCATCAGGGTGGGCAAGGGGCTGACGGACGTGAGCAGGGATTGCTCCTCCCGACCTCCTCAGGAAAACTGGTTTTGGGGAAAAACCCTCAACCTGAAGTCATCCCCCGGCTACCACCCCCAACATCCGTCCCCCCTCATCACCCCTGCCCCGTTCCTGCTCCGCTGCAGGAGCAGGGTGGGTTTCTCCCCTGGAAGCCTCCCAGCCTTGCCAGCGTTCCCCAGTAAGGAAGAGGCGCTGGAGGCAGAGGCCCGGCCGCAGGGCAGGTGACAGGGACACTCCGCAAGACGGTCCAATTTCTCTCACGGAGCGATGCCCACCTTGCTGTCCTTGCAAAACTGGAGGGACAGTGGCACGTCCAACTCCTCCCCTTTGGCTAATGCCAAGAGACAGATCAAACCCAGGGCCCCCTGAGGCGAGCGTGCCTGCACGGCCGCGCTGTGATCCCTGCGCTGCTTCTGCTGCTCGAGGCAGGGCCTCGCTCCACGCCTGCAGCCCCGCTGCAGCTGCAGCCCCACCAGCCCTCGCATCCGGCTCCTCTGCACCCCTGCATCAGCCCCCGAACTGATCCACTGCACTGGATCAACCCCCAAACTGATCCACTGAGCTGGATCCAGCCCCCGAACTGATCCACTGCACTGGATCCAGCCCCCGAACTGATCCACTGAGCTGGATCAACCCCCAAACTGATCCACTGAGCTGGATCAACTCCCAAACTGATCCACTGAGCTGGATCAGCCCCCGAACTGATCCACTGAGCTGGATCAACTCCCAAACTGATCCATTGAGCTGGATCAGCCCCCGAACTGATCCACTGCACTGGATCAACCCCCAAACTGATCCCCCGAGCTGGATCCAGCCCCCTAACACATCCACTGAACTGGATCCAGCCCCTGAACTGATCCATTGAACTGGATCAGCCCCCGAACTGATCCACTGAACTGGATCAGCCCCTGAACTGATCCATGGAGCTGATCGGGGGGGCCCCTGAATGCCCCAGACATCAACACCTACCTTGGGCAGGTGGCTGTACCCCGTGCTGGAGGGGGCCACAAAAAAAGGGGCATTTCAGCCCTGTGCTGAGGTGCCTGGGTGGCTTGGGAGGCGAACGGGCAGCGCCTGGAAAGCTTTTCTGCCCACGCTCCCGCTGCCCGGCGGACCATGAGGACGCCCGCTGCGACTCCCCACCCGCCACATGCTCCGCGCTTCTCTGCAGCCTTTTCTTTATCAGGACATTTTCCAACTGATGAGGGAAAACAACAGATTATAACTGTGAAGTTATGGTGAGAGAACTGGATCCTGGTAGGACAACATTATTCCTTGCCAAGAGAAGGAACAATTAACCCTTTCTGTAGACTCTCCTCCCATTTCTTCCGCAGCTCCCAGTCACCTCTATATACATCATATATTATATTACTATATTCTCTTAAAACTCTGACTTTGCTTCTTTAGTTTCAGTAGCACAAGTAATTAATCCAAAAATTAAAAAAAAAAAAATAGACAGAAAGCAGCCCCTAGGAATATATACAGAGCAGTTCACCTTGCAGAGATGGGGGGCTGGCACTGGGAATAGCTCGGGTTTTGAATGCGATAAGCATTCCACATTCATCCTTTCCCCGTCTGGGATTCTGTTCTGATGCTGGAAATAAAGAAGCTGTTCACCAGGCCTTCCCAGGGCGCAGCCCCCGAGGAGCCAGGCTGGGGAGGAAACACAACGTTGATTCTCTCCCCTGGGCCTGGCCTGCAAATAAAGGCAGCATCCAACGGGATCGACCTTGAAAACCACCCATTCCCTTCCCTTCCAAGCAGGAGCCTATTCCCACCCCGCGATTCCCTGAGTCTTCATGACCCAGGCACCTTTCTCCTCACAAGGGCCAGGACCTTTCAGGTACTGGATGGTGGGAAGAGGAATGGGGCTGTACATACCTGCAAGCGAAACCGTAAAATGGAAGATATGCACGTGTTTAACATACCAAAAATTATTGCAGTATAAATACGTTCCTGGCACCTCAGCAAAACCAGGGAAGGGGAAGTGATAGAGGCGGCTTAGTGGATAAGGGGCTCCTTAATAAAACTACTCAACCTGGAAAGCTTTAACGGCTGCTCCCACAGCTATAAATTCTTTCTGAGATTAGGGCAATGGCCATTTACGTGAGCAAAAAATGCTCCATCTTGTTCCTCTCCCCCCCGCCCTCCCTCATGCTGCGCATGATAAAATATCCCGAGAGTCTCTCCGCGTCAGACCTTTTTCAGAGAGACTCCTATAAGAACAGCATCCCACCCCAGAAAACCCCAGTAAGAGTTGCAAAAATAATTGCTCTTAAGTATGGCTGGTTTCCCCAGCTGCTGAGACCTTCTGGCCGACCCACGATAGTATTTCTGTGAAGACAGAGGTAGTGACCTCGGGCAGCTCTTTGTGCAGGGCATGGTAGGCTTCCTCATACACCTGCAAGTAGGAACACAGGGAAGATTAGTGCAGACGAGAAACATGAACGAACAAAGTCACATCTAGTCAGCAGCCCAGCACATCCTGCCCACACCTGGTCATTTTTTTTCCTAGATGTGGCAGGTTATGAAACCAGAGAGGTTCCCTGAGCTTCGACCCACTCCATAAAGGGCTCCCACTGGACTCTCAACTTCTGTGCTGATGGAGCCTCTTTTGGATTGTGCTGGAGGCAGATGTTGTTTTTCTTGATGATTCTTTTCTAGGGGTGGAAAACAAGCATAAAGGGGGCAGCGAGAAAGGTCAAGACACCTTATGTCTCTACACTTCATGTGTTCTGCTGGGTTCATGAGTGAGATCCCATGTGTCCCCAGCTGAGCCCTTCAAACCAGTCACTTTAGCAAGCTGCCTGGTGCAGTGTGGCCTTTATAGGCCACAGAAGGGAATGGAAAGGAAGGATTTTTTTTTCCCCTGCTTCTGATTCCCTTTTCTCAGTCAGGTCCTCATGGCAAATGGCTCCTCCAAGATTTGATCCCTTCTTCGTTTCCCATCCCTGACATCTGCCAACCTTCCAGCTCCCTCCCATTTTCACTGCGTCCTGCTTCTTTGCTGCACTTGGCATTCATGGTGCTCAAGCAAGGAGGCTTTGCCTTTGGAGCTTGACACTTGGGCCTGACCCAAGCACTCTGCTGACCCTTTAGCAAGCTCTGCTGTTTCTTACCCCTGTAAGAAGCAGGAAATATTTATCATGCCCTTGGAGTTTAAAGGACAATGGGGGATGTTCCCATCATGCCTTGTGTAATTTTACTTCTTTTATGCCCAAACTATCCAGTTATTTTTCTGACGACAAAAGCTTTCCCTTGGTCACCCTGTCTCTCTTTCAGGCTCATTCATGTGCTAACAATTGGTTAATCAGCTGTGGCTCTCTTGAAATGAGCAGATGCGAAGTGGCTTTTGTTGAGCTGTGCTTTGGAAAGGCCTCCCTGCACCTTTATGCGCTGGGGCGTGAGGTGAGGTTGGTGCTAACATGGTTGGCCTTGTTCAGAAGAGCTGCTGGGCTCAGCGCTTCACCTGGTTATGAGCCTGGCTCCGCGGACGTGTCAATTGGTTCATGTCACAGAGATCCCTAGGTACACAGCCACCCCCAGGACCAGGTATTCACATCACCCAGGACCACACTCCAAAAAGGGAGCTGAATCCTCACCTCTGAGGGTCCTGTCAACCCTTGAAGGCAAGAAGCAAGCTTAGCCCTGTCACTTGTTAGAACTTGGGTAATAGCCAAGATGCCTTGAGAGAAGCTTTGGACCTGTGCTTAGCTGCTATGCTGACTGCTGTGCTAGCTGATAGGTACATATCAGTGCAGTTCAGCTCTATACGGCCCTGCTTTCCCTCAACACCGCTTACACCTCTGAGGGGAGCTAAGCAGACTCCCTGCCCCTCACTGTGGCTGCTGCTCAGGCCAGCACTAACAGCACAGCTCTATAAAAAGCAAGAAAGCAAGATAACCTTGAGAGTCTTGTCCTGACTCTGCACTGTGTCCATCAGGAAATAGGACCCTTTGATATCGCAGAGCTTGTCAGAGGAGCCGTGTAGCACCAGGATGGGCAGAGTCAGCTTGGGCAGCGCTCGCTCAATTCTGGCAATGGCGTTCATCAGCTGGATGACAAAGGAGATCTTCATGCCACCGTGGTAGACCAGGGGATCTGCTGTGTATGACTCCATCTGGCAGGGAGAACAAGTCACTTTAAGGTTAGCGATATTTCATGCAAAAACACCAAAACAGCTCACCTTGGCCGTGAGGAGTCTCTTCCCTTTGCTTGCACAGTCATTTCCTGGCCTGTCAGGACATCCTGCCATCACAGTCAAAGCTGACATCTCTACTGCAGCTTCGCACAGAACCTGGCTTGTTCCGAGGTGCATATTTCTCTTTTACGTCACTAAAAAATATTTGAGCCAAAGATCTTTCTATAGGCAAACGATCAGTCAGCCAATGACTGTTCCCATGGGGACACCTGCTCACATCTATTTCTACCCTGACATGTCCTTCTGTCACTGAAAGGTGACACTTACTTCTGTGCATATGGTTCTTCAGTCTGCATTATTTTAAAATTCATATTGTCCAAGGCCTTGGCTTTGGTGAGGTCCTGGATGTTCCTCTTTCCTGGGATAAGGACAGTGATGCAAAGTGAGAGCATATCTGACTGCAAAGCTTCCTACAATGAAGGGTTCTCTCTCAGTGTAGCAAAGACAGGAGCTGCCCATGACCCTTCTCCTCAAGTTGGACTATTCCATGTTGGAGCCTGCAGGCCCAGGGCCCTTCCCTCCAAGGGAAGGTGGCTTCAAAGCACCTGCTTTGTGTGAAGAAAGTCGTGGGCTTGCGGTAAATAACATTTAGGGACCCCACTGGCTCAGTACAGATCTTCATTCAAATGTTGGCATTAGGTGGTAGGCAAAAAAATAATAAAAAAAATCAACCACTTGCTCAGGCAGACTGTGAGAGGATAAAAATGTACAAACGCTGGTGCAGAAAGTTGCTAGGAATGAGTAGTTACCGCAGCAGGCAAATCTACAGTAAATATTTGTATACTGTACACGAAGCCGGCCCACACAGCCACTGCCATCTCAATATTTGCCAGAGCGCTTTGATGATGGGTTGGTCCCTGGCACAGCCTCCAGTTCCTCCCAGCCCTGACAGATGTTTACAGAAATGCTGGTTATTTATAGGCGGGCTGGAGACAGCCCCGCTCTGTCCTCGCAGGCAGGGAGCACTGCTCAGATTCCCCTCCCACTATGGAAAGGTGGGTCCTCTCCTGCTGCACACGCCTGTCCTGAGGAGACCAAAGGTGGGACGTGATGATGATGCCACCCCAGGGACACCTCACTCCACGGAAGTTTGCTCCCAGATGTGCACCTTAGCAGGAGCACAATGACCTTCCTTGGCCCTGAGCTGCCGTGCTGAGAAGCCAGAGAGTGTCCGTGCTGAATTTTACATTTATCTCCCTGTGAGATGAGATTTCAGGCTGGCAGAAGGACGCTACGTGAAGGGAGATTTTCCAGATGGAGGGTTGAACTTGCCAAAGTTTGCACAGCCAGCTTCCCTGCCCATTCCCTCATGGGAAGAGGCAGCAGAAACAGATCTGGTGGTAAGGCATGTTGGTGCACAGAAGCCCTTCTTGCTTCCAGCACCATGGCTGCGGCCAGCCCCTGCACTAGACTCTGAAATGAGGAGCCTTTTTTGTCAGGGAGACAAACACAGGCTTCTCCTGTCACGCCCACAGCTCAGGAAAAGAGCATCTTCACTTTGACATCTCCCTTTCAAAGGAGCAAGTTCCCGTGCACTCCGAGGGTTTGGAGAACACCGTTTGTAAGAGGCCACTCCAAAGGTGAGAGTCTGGTTAGTGCAAAGGATCCACTCAAGCTTCTCTGAGCATCCTCACCTGCTAACGGTGTTAGAAGACGGAGACGTGGAGCAGTGTGTGCCCTATCTGCATTCACAGGGACTATGCAAGTGGGTGCAGAAACTGCTCTTCCCATTCTCCATCCCTGGCCATGAAACTGCTTTTTAAATTTTTTTCCCCAGAAAGAAGCATCACGCATGTGTTCATGGAAGAACTTCAACTTTCACTTCCCAAACACCAGCCACCTGTAATTTTGCCTGCGCTCTCTTTAGCTGCTGGGGGTACCCTGAAATTTTCAGCTAAACCTGTTGACTTTTCTTCAGCATTTTAAACAAAAACATCAGGCTCCCTGGCTACTTAGCAACTGGATCGGGAGCTACTTGGCCAGACCTATGTCATAGCACTTGCAGCAAAGCAACACAGCTTGGAGATGGGTTTCTTCCTATTTTTCAGTTGTTTTTTTTTTTTAATTGAAGGCAGCAGACGAAGGACTCCAGGGGGAAAAATCAAGTGGGGTGGGCGGATGGATTGACAGAAGTTCCATTCCCATGGAGTAAAATAATGTTGATGAATTTATATGTGAGTTGGCCCCCTCCCCACCCCCGTACACTGCCATAAATGCCAAGGGATGACCTAATGGGTTTCTTTCTTCTCTTTTCTTAAGGAACAGGAAATTTCTAGTTACTGAGGAGCCAACCAGTATTTTTGTATAGATGACAGGAGTTGAAAAAATAAAACCCGATCCCAACCATGATCAATCAGCACTGCAGGAGGGAGGATCCTAGTCCCTGTGAATGAACAACAGTTGGAGAATTACTGTTCAGTGTGTGAGGTGAGCGCAGGGCATCAGCTTGAGTGGGCAAAGGGGGGAATGCAAGAATGGGCTTTACCTTCTGGTGGGAAGGGGCAGCAAGGGAAGAGCCTGGCACAGTGGAGCAGTTTGGGATGGAGAAAAAGGGTTTAAAGAAAAGTTCTCTCCATCATTTTCTGTTGTAACCTTTAGCTGTACAAAAGGTTTGGAGAACATCGGGCTGGTCTTCAGCAGCCTGCAGGTCTCCCAGCCGCATTCTTGCTCCAGTGACCGAGGTGAGTTGGTGCATCAGGGTCAGCAAGGGTGACGCTGGCTCTAGATCCTGCAAGTCTGCCGTGAGCAGCAGGGAGAGCTCCCTTCGCAGCACCGAGCAAGGTGCACGCGCTGGGCCGCAGGTGCAGGAACCTTTGAGGCCATCTCCAGGGGCCAGGGACAGCCCTGTGATTTCTTCCAGCTGCAGCTCAGTGCAGGCTCCGTGGAGACCATCATCCCAGTCTTTTAAAGAGTCTTTTTAAAATATTAGATTTTTAATGCTAAGACAGAAGCAACGGTCAGGGTTCCTGCTGCAATAGGTTCCCTAGCTTAGAGGTTTGCATCTTTCTTTTGCATTTTGCACAGAATATATTCATTATAGAGAACAATACTATAGTCAGTGGGACTATTCCACTGAATTCAATGAGAACTAACAAAGATTAATGAGGTAAGAGAGTGTCCCCATGACCTTATTCACCTTGGAAGTAGGAATGGGTTTTTATGATTGTTTCTTGCTCCCTTCTGTGTCTCTTGCATTTGATATAACAAATAGACTAAACATCTCCTTACCATCCAGTGTTCCAGTCCCTAGACCCCGAGGCCAGACTTCTGGGAACAAAAACTCATCAGGAAATTCTTGGCTGATGTCCCAAAAATATTTCTAGAGAATAGAAAGTTGGCCTGGCAGAAGAATACATTTAACATATAAATAATGAATGTTTCCAGCACAGCGTGTGCTTTGAAGCTGCACATCCTGAGCCCAAAAGGAGGATGGCGCGTGTGTCGGTGGCAGTCGGAGCACTGACATGGTGTGTTGTTCTCAGTGAGTGCTGCAGCCTCGGATGCTGGTGTTTGAGGATGGTCAGGAAGGCACGTTACATCGACAGCTGGCTGGGGCACTTGTGTGTTTATTTTGCAGGCAGCAGCGCACGGAGGGGCTTGTTTTGTTTTAAAGACTACTCCATTACAGCAGATGCGAGTGAAGCAGATCTACATTATTAATCATTTCAAGAGGCTTGGACAAAAGGAGCTAAAGGTACAGGAGCTATCACATGCAACTGGACAGTATGGCTGAAGCTGCTCCATGGCCAAGGAAATGTCAGCGGGAAAAACCAACACTCAAAGGAAACACTTGGACTTGGAGCATCACGGAGCAGTGGGAGAAACAGCAAGTAACTGGGTATAAAAACACCCACAGTAGCTTTTAAAATAAACTATGCCCAGTGCTTGCTGTTGTGATTCTTAAAATCACTCCAGCAGCCTAACTGGAAATATCTGGACAACACTGTGCACCAAGCTAAGAGAGCTCACAGACACCTTTTTGAGTGCATTGTGATTTGAGCTGTCCTCGCTGCAGCACTTGTATCATTTGGTGCACACCAGCACCTCCCAGCAGAAGATTCAGGTGTTGAAGGCAAGTATTTTGTGCCAATTGTCATGTAGAGAATAGCATTCTCAAATTCCTTCCCTCCTCCAGAACACAGTCCCCTTTTATCCTCTAAATGCAAATGCAGCAATTAAAGCTTTCCTCTAGGTTTTTTATTGAATTAGGTTTCCAAGTTAAACTCATTCTCTGAACTATATGCAATGAATTACGGCAGGTGAATGTAATTAAGATATCTATGGCTTGACTATAATCAGCCTTCTTCTCAAGCATATATTTTGTGCAGCTTTGTACTGTACTGAAGAACATGCCATACTGTACATCAGTATACAGTGAATGCACACTAACACACTCCATGATATTTTCCCAGGATTTACTCTACACCTTCCTTTTCCAAGCTTATTGAACCTTTCTGCTTTCAATCCTGTGAAGTATGATGCCTCGTTCATAAGTAAGGAAACTGGAGTCATTCGACCAAAAAATTCTTTGGCAGGGCCAAAAAATAACCCCTAAAGCCTTGTGCCTATTCTATAAGACCCTTTTGCCATCCAGTTTACTGAATGGGCAAATCCGCACACAAATACACAAACAGAAGTTAAATACGTTGCAGTTATACAACTGCTGACTTTGTCTTTGCTCCTGATGCTTTCAGCTTCCACTCTAACGCTAGCATCGCTGCCATCCTAGAGGAAGGCAATGTATCAGAGTCAACTTATGATACGAATCATTTCATGAACAGCATGAAAAATGACAGCCTCTTTCCAAACAATGCAAGCTGGCATGGGAGCACCTGATGACAGGAACAATTGACCACCACCCCCTCTCTCCAGAGGAGGAGATTTTATTCACTTACAGTCTGTGTCCTCCTCCTTTCTCTGCCATAGCAGTGAGAAGGAACAAATCTCAGTTTGGGGTGTTGGAGCAGCTGATAAGATATCTGGGTTTGCCAGTATTGCATGAGCAGGCTGCATCAGTTATTACCAGGAGTGTGCATGAATGGGAGAAGAGTCTCCAGCAACGATCACATCAACAAAAAGAATCACCCCGGAGCAGCTCCATTCATGGGCACATTGGTAGAAGCTGGAATTAGCTTGTTCAATTGCAGCTCACTGAAGTATTATTCTCCAGTGCAGGGAGAATACATCGTTTGTTAGAACGGCTGTAGTAGAGCCAGTATGTAATCCAGGAGACCTTGTGGCAAGGTCTTTGGGGCAAGCATGCTCTTTTCTCATATCTGAATGCATCCAGCACAATGCAGTCCTGGTTTGTAAGCAGGGCTCCACAGTGCAAACTGATATAAATCACTGGGATCAGTGTTTTGCAGTGCAAAGAGCAGGGCTGGAAAGTTTGACTTTAGCAGTGTTTATAATCTGTATGAACTATTTTTGCCACTATAATAAGCAGTGGTGGCAGAGCCGTGGTGACCTACAGTTCCCATGCTTGTTACCACAACTGCAGCATCTATACATCTAGTGCCCAGAATGAGCAGAAGGGCAAGGTGCACTGAAGGGACGAGATGCTGATTTCCAATGATGAAGCAAGTTCTCTGTTCTGGAGAAAGATTCATGGCTCTACTGACCTCAGAGATGTTTCACCTTTATACAGGAGCAAAAGTCTTAGCTAATGATTTAGCAAAGCACTTTTTTGTCATATTTAAGACCAGACCGGAATTGCATATCAGCTCAGCAGTGACTTTAAATGGCATTATGATTCTCACCTCCTTCTTGTTCCGGGAAATTGCATTTGGATCTATTGATCCCAGGGACAGGTTTGGAAGAACAAAGTTGAGCACTTTAGCTGCAAAAACCTGTGAAAGGGAAAGCAAGTAGTTAGAGGGCTAGTTAAAGCAAGAGAGAGAAAACACAGAGGGCCAAAATCTTAGCTGATGGGAATCAGCACTGAAGTTAAATAGTAAAGAAATATCATCTGACAGTGGAGAAGGATCTGGCCTATATTTAAACTATTTGTCATAAAGGGAAAGGATGTAAACTGCTCCTGGAATCAGGCACTGGATGTGCAAGCTGCTTTCAACTGTTCAACTGCAACACCACAACTCTACTGTACCTTCTCTTTTCCTATTCTCAAGTTGTTTTCAATGAAGGCCTCAGTTAAGCATTTATTTTAGAAAAAAAAAAAAGTTGTTTATTTTCCTCTGCGGGCCTGGAGCTTGCTGTTGTTCATGGCCTCTCCTTGCTGTCACACCTCTGATTTCAAGCTGCAGAGCATAAGTGATATTCTGTGCAATTTGTGGTAGATGCCTACACTGCACTCTTTTTGATAAGCTTATTCTCAGGGGAATGTGCAAATAAACAACAGCAAAATGTGCATGCACTGGCTAAGGAAATCTATTGCTCACTTGTCTCCTGGGAAAGAAAGACAAAAGCCTTCAGCAGCCCAAACCCCTGGCAGAAGAAAGGGTAACATCTTTCATTTCAATTACAATCTACCAGTTCCGTGATACCAGGATTCTGCTCTGATCTTTGACAGCTGTCTTTAATTAAGTGATCACCATTTAAGTCAAAAAAAAAAAAAAAAAAAAGTAATTAGTGTGTGTTGGTCTATTTCACAGCCCTTTTGTTAGCACACCTAGTGCTTGTGAGGTGCCCTGTCGCCTGTGTGCTCAGTTTCTGCTCATGTGCAACGCTTCTAAAGCGCTCGCTGACATTTCAGCTCTCAGATGATACGTGACAGAGTAATTATGACATTAGAGGAACAATGCAAGGTTGAAATCAAAGGCATCTAGGAGTGAAAAGCAGTGAAGTCTCATAGCAGGTTTGAGAATACCAGTGTGCTTCAGGGTGGACATAATCAAGGAAATTTTGTCCAAGTCTGCAAGTATTTCAAACTCCTCACTGACCATGACACTGTGTGGGCAAGATTAAGTTTTACGGAGGTGATTGGATTTGGACCAATAAAATTTCACAGAATCATAGAATCATTATGGTTGGAAAAGACCTTCAAGACCATCAAGTTCAACCGTAAACCCTTTAACATCCTGCCTGCTAACCCGGCTCCCTAAGTGCCCCATCTACACGTTCCTTGAACACTATAATACACAATAAACATGAAGCTTTCTTCACATAAGCAGCAATGCACCAGCCTATCAACATGCTGAAGGCAGGGCAGATACAACAAGGAGAGGACTCAGTACGCGCCTTATCTTCAGAATCTTCCTTTTTGGAGACAACCTAAACAGCCTTTTGTCAGATTTACTCTGGTCATTTTTCTATTTTAATGATCTATGCTTATTATCATAATTTCACAGGTTGGTGATGATCATGACTGTGATATACTTTGGCAATGTTCCTGAGTTTTAAAAAACAGTCAAAGAAATGACTGAACCCAAGTATAGCAGTATATACTGGTCTGGGTTGCTGATTTAAATTTCTAGTGTCCAGCTGCTCAAGAGAAGAACCAGCCTCATACACGGATGAGGCAGATGTACCTACACACATCTATACTCCCTGCCTGCCTAAAAATAATGATTACTTATGTGCAGAAAGAACTAATCTTGGTCAAAAGAACCAATTGTGAAAGGACTCTGTCCCGTTCCAAGGGTTTTCAGATATGCAGGAAATGTTACATTCCCTTTAATGCTTAGTATTGCCTTAAAATTCAGATGCAATTTTGATGATTTGTAGAGTCAAGAACATGGCCAATAAAGTTTCATGTTTTAACCAAGAGGCCACAAGGTTTCCCTGAGCCTTTGCTGATTTTGTGAGCACTGTAGTATCATTTATAACATAGTGGGCTCTAATTAAAAGCTGCGTTATTCAACCGCCGGCTATATGTGCTACCTAAAGAGTTTATCTCCCTGTTGGTTCAAAGAGGAAATGTCATTTCTTGAGAAAATAGCTCTCAAGTGGTCAAGGAAAGTTAAAACAATAATGACATTATTACTGGTTAGGCTCAGGACGATACTCTTGGGTAATGGTTATTAGAGTTCTTTCAGGCCAACAGCAGTGTGTCAGATCATTTAATACTTCGCTTTCTATTACAAAAAATCTCAGGAAAATATAGGAATAGATAGCTGAACATTGCCTTTTGACTGGAAGTGTAACTTAAGGATAATTTTGTAATTTTTGCACTAGTTTAACCATGCAGGTGCTTTACAGCATAGACACTTTTCTTCTGCATGGAATAATCCCTTCGTCCCCTAAGTCTCTGCATGCTTATTTATCTCTCCCATGACCTCTGCTCACTACATGGCTTGTGTGAATGCTTTTAAGTTCATTTCAGCTACAAATGAGCTCGAGTAACAAAGATGGGATGGCTGAACTGTTCAAGTTAGCCAGCCTCATTTCGATGGAGCCAAAGCTCTCTAGGAGAGACACTTTAATGAGCTACGGAGATTAGCTAAAGGGCAGCTAGAACAGTCACACCAAAAAGGATATACCTCCATACTAAGCTACCCGATTGGTGCTTGTCAGGATCAACATGTTTCTTTGAAACCGCAAAGATCACAGAAAAGCCAAAATTTGTAAGAATCTGCAATTTAGGACTTCCTTCCAGTTTGACGGTGTCTTTAAAGACACTTCTCTGCATTATTACTGTGTGCAAATTCAACCTGAAGGACTGGAACACTAATCTAAGAGACCCCCAGGAATTGGATCAGTCTGATACTCATTTGGTTTGGAAAGCAATAGATCAGTAAAAGGCCAAGTGGAAAAAAACCAACAGGCAGAGAATTTTGTATGCCCAGTCTTTAAGGCATAGGCTGGATGCTAGTATAGTAATTATTAGGGAACAACTCCTAGGTTTCAGAGGTTGTCCTATTTTAAAGTGCTTCATCTGAAAAGCAGCAGCACTTTGACCTTTATTCTGCTGTTTCTCAGCACATGTAATTCATGCCTTTCTTTTTGAATCCTTCCTAATTGTGAAGATTTGGAGCCAAGTCCTGCCCAGCTTAGCCGAGAAGGTAAAAAGTAAACAGCAAGGTCCCTTGCTCTTCAGTGCAGGTGGAAAGAGCAGGTAGGTGCCTCTGTTGGGACACAATATTTACAAGGCACTGATGAAACTGTGTTTCTCTAAAGCGCAGAACTGGTTTCTCCAGCATGTTCTCTGTGGAGACATATCCTGCTTCAGGCAGGCCTGGTTCAGCAGCCACTGAAGTTATTTCTCACACCAACGGAGGGATCCAGCATGGAGTCTGACCCACTGCTATTGTTGCCTTGAGCCCTCGTTTGTTTAGGCCAAGGTAAATTCTTGCTCAGCTGGAAAGCTGCCTAGCGAGTGGATGAATGCAATGCCCTTGGGAAATGGCTCAGGGCCTAGGAGCCCTATCTGTTCCAAGGGGAAAGCCCAAAGCCTTTGTGTCTCAAAGGCACAAAACACCAGTGAAATGTCCTTTGGCTCGCAGAGGGAAAAAGCACACAAGGGTTTTCAGCTCAGCTTTCTCAGAAATGGTGGCTTACACAGGAATACTCAGCCTGTTCTCATTCCTCCCTCTTCCACATACCTTTTCAGCTCCATGACTGACTGCAAGTAAATTTGACACAGCAAATACTTCAACAATAAATATTTTTTATCCGTTTTGAGAGGCAACAAAAGATATAAAAGACAGGAAAACAACACTTTGAACTTGAGTTATTTAAACTGGCAGACTCAATGGAAAGAGACCCTATAAACATTCACAAAATACTTCAGTTATGACAGTACAGTTTCCTATACTGAAATTAAGCCACTACCTGATACTAATCTACAAGAAACCAGACTTCATCAGTACCAGTTCCTGCAGAACTTGCTAGTCTTTATTTCTGTAAGGGTTTTACATCTAACATGGCAAAATACATAGCTCCAGAATAGCTTTTTCCCTGCTTTCCTTGATTCCGGTAGAAATAGAAGCCTATTAGTACCTCTCAAATTTAGACTATACAATCTTTTCTTTCAGAACAGTAAAGAGGGAGAAATAGTTTAGGAGTACATTAAAATAAGAAGCGAGGCCTAGAGAATCTAGGAACAAAAGTTAAAGGAATGAGAACTGCGGGAATGAGATGTTGTGTTCTTGGTTTAACTGGCCCTTCCCTTTGCTTCCTGTTTCTGTTAGGATTGTTGTTTATTATTTTAGAAACACAGAAATGAGGAGAGCAAAAGCGAGAGGGTCAATTTCCTAGCAGAATTTCCCTGGAGAAGGACAGACCGGGCAGTGCAAATTTTCATCAGAAATAACTCAGGAAAAGAGATGAGAATGGGAAAGGGTATAGCCTAGCTGTAAGCTAAAGAAGGTATTTCTCTATGTGGACAAGAACTAATTATTGTACCAAGCCAAGTTAGCATAGTGATGCTTTAGCTGGAGGCCTTCTTTGAGGGCAGTGAGTGATTCCTGGGACTGAAGAGCTACAGTTTTGTTCAGAAATTGGTCACCCTGTAAATGCCAAAAATATCCATGGCCTGACTTAGCCAAAGCCTGTGTTGCAACTATACCAGACTCTGCATGAGTCAGGAAGAAAACTGTAGGAGAAGGGAAAGGACAGTAGTGTGTAGGCTGTAAAGGGTGTGGTGAAGAAAGCACAGTCTGCTACCACCTCCTCAGGTGGCATCGTTCTCTGACTCCTAGTTAAATATCCTTCCCTGGGCTGGAGTTCAAAACTCAACTTCCCCTCTGAAAAATAAGCAGGAGTGTGGGGGAGACAGTTAGAAGAAAAGTATTGACTGGCATTCAGGTGGTGCAGATCTAAATAGGGTTTTGCATTTTAAGGATAGAAGCCTTAAAGCATTTCCTTCAGTGGAAGACGTGACCAAGTGCAATGCAGATTTGCTCTTACCTTGATGGGTGTAGCGACTTCTGGGCTGGCTACCACTAAAGGAGAGATTAACAGCATGCCTGAAAACTCACTGGGTCTCTCACTAGCTGTCAGAATGGAGATGGCTCCCCCCTGTAATGCAAAATAAGAGCCCACAACTTAATACAGATGCAAACATCTCATTTATGCAGTAATCCTGCTACTGGAAGGGTTCTAGACCAAACAACCAAACAGTTCTTCCCTCAGTGAGACTGAAATGTGATCGGAGAGAAAGACTAGAGAATTAGGGTCACTAAAAGCAAAATGACTGAACTAGGTTGATTTTTGCTGGGGAGAGGGCATCTGATTTTTGCTTTTATGTTGTAAAACCCATCACATCACATTGAATAAAACTGTGTGCAATATCAGTGAATTCTCTAGAATGTCTTAAATCCGCCTTGGTTAAGAGGGCTAAAAAGAACAATCCAAATGTTCAGGTGGGACTGAAAAAAACAGACTGAGACTTATTTTGAGTTGGGTGGGACAAATTGGTGCTGCATCCGGAAAAAGGGGACATGCAGAGCAGTGAAGCAGGACTTGCTCTGTGCCTGTGGCACTGGTAACAGCACCACGAAGGCTTTCATCAGGAATGCTAAAGTAACAGCTAACTACTCAAAGCTAAATATTCTTCTTTTCAGTGTCCACAACCTCTCCAGCCCTCCAGTGCTGTGCCACAAGCTGACCAGCTAAAACTCAAGCATCCTTGCAGGTTCCTTTGAGCTGAACACTGGTCAGGCTGGGTCCTCCTGTGTGTCCATCACTGGCGGGGGGTGGGAAGAGCAGAGGAGGGGCACTTGGCACGCTTGCCCAGGCAAGTTTGCAGAGGATTAGTTGCCAAGGGAAATGTTTGGTGAACTTCCACGCTGCTGAGGAACCAGGGGCTTGTTAAATGGAGCGGCAGCCAGAAGAGTCTCAAAGACCTCACTGGGAAATTAGCTCCTTGTTATAGAGGCTTTGGAGCACAGTGAGCACTTAAGAACATGCCATGCGTTCTTATGTAAGAACACTTGTTTATCTGAGCATGGGCTGAATCCCAAAGTACTTATTCATTTTTCTCTCCTCTGGAAAGGGAAGGAGAGAAGATCAATGACATCAATGGGAATATTGCTAGCTTGAATAAAAGGATTTAGCCCGTGCTGTCAGAATCAGACTTCAGATCTGTTCACCAGCTCAGTGCCTTTGTTTTTGCAGCCCTAATCCTTGGTACATTTTCCTGTAAGGTTGTTTAACAGAATGAGGCTACAGGGAATTTTTGTACTTCATCCTCGATCCACTCGCAAAGCTTTGGAGGGCTTAACCTTCTGCTTACTGGCTAAAATGAAATGAGAAATCCAATGCTGCAGGGAAGTGGTGGGATTTGGCTAGGTACTTACCATGAGTAAATAGTCCTATTAAAAAATAGTCCCACCATTGTAAAGGGCACTAATGATGGCCATGATCCAGACAGAAAAGTTAAGGACTGAGTGTATTCAAGAAGGATCTTACAGGATAAGGTATGTTGGCAAATCACAGTTTATAAAGTTGGTGGTGAGCTTGCTTGTAGTTTGCTTTTCCTTCTGTGTGATGAGTTCATCCTTGTTGTCCAGAACAGTACTACAGTGGCATGGCACATATCCTGGATGGTGCTAGGAAGTGTAGAGGAAAGGGTGCTTACCATGGAGTGTCCCAGAATGAGAATGGGGAGGCCAGGATGCTCCTTCTTCATGAGATCAATGTGCTGCAAGCTGTCCCTGATGAAGACGTGGAAATCTGACACAACCATACGATCACCCTCGCTCTGTCCATGGCCAACTGCAGGGGGAAGGAAAGCATACATCTGAATCATTCAAAGCAATGGTCACGTTCAAGAAATGCTTTATCAGAAACATGCCTGCTGGGCTTTCTTAACTCAACCTCCTCCTGCAGTCAGTTCTCAACAGAGAGACTACTGCAGAAGTGCAAAGAGTCTGCCCAGAGACAGGAGAGGGGAGCCTGCCTTGCTGGACAAGTAGAAGGTCTCTGATCCTGGCAAATGGATTTTTCCCCCAGAGATCACAGTTACTGGGGTCTGAGGGCTCACCACACAGTAAGAATTGCAGTGTTGAGTCTTGGCAAGAAACAGAAAATTCTGAAAACCGGATAGACTCACTATAAACTTACCAGGCCCTAGATGCAGCTTTCCCCAATAACCTGGGAGTGTGTGTGAGCTTTGCAGTGTCCTGCCTTTTCCCACCACTACTCTAGAGCACCGAGTGAGCTGGAAATCTTCCCTGCTAGCATTTCCAGGGCTCTTGGCTGAAGATCCCAAGTATGAGTTGTTGCAATTCTCTGTAACGGGAATATATTGAGTGGTATGCTCCTCCTAAACTAGTGTTAATGGAAGCTATACTGCACCTGCACGATGTTAGCTTAGTCTGTTGCTGGGAATTATCTTGTCTGATCAAAGGGAAGGGAGAGGCTAAAACTGGGGATGATGAGTTACTATGGAAACAGCAGCAGCTCTGTTAGAGGTGGAGTCAGCAATATCCAGAAACAGAGTCCCAGGCAATTTTGAGCTTGCAAAGGCTTGAAATGAAAACCACCTCTGGGAAGCAGTTTGTATGATGAGCTGACATACTGTTATTTATCAAGAATAGAATTCTTCCTTAAAAAGAGTCTCCTTGCATGGAACATTAGCCAGATGGCATTCTAGGTTGTGTCCTTTTAATACCTCCTCTCTTCTCCTCCAAGAAACCAAGCTTCCTTCAAAAGATAATGAGTTTCCTCAAAGTTTGAATCTCCCACATGAAAAAGCTGCAGGGCAAGTAACTAAGACTGCTTTTGTAAAATGAAAGGCATCTGCATAGCCAAACATCGACACAGTCAAGAATATCACGACGTTTTTCTTTAATCTTTTGCCTTCAGAGCTATTAAGAATGAAAGGTCAGATGCATCCTTGATGAAAGCCTCTTTGCTTCAGGTTTTTAATGAGAATAAATCTGCCTTAGTGGTTCCATAGTGCAGGTTTTAAGAAAATTGGTGAAAACACGGAACTCTCCATGAAAACCAGGAACTGCAACTAATGAGAGACTGCTCAGAACAGAAGCGAGACAGGGACAGGTCAGAGACGTGTCGTGAGTATCAGGGCCCCAGGAATCCCCCGTATCAACTCTCCTCCTGGTATCCCTAGTTGAAAGAGAGCAATGTCTAAATGAGGAGGCTTTTGAGATGCTCATCTGCAAAGGTCTATGATTATCAGTACATATCTGCAGGGTACACTTGATTTTTGAAATATATTGCCCGGTTTCATAGCTAACCTGGATGGTTCACTGCTAATAATTGTGCATTTGCAGCAGTTCAGTGACAGGCTGTTTCAGGTTGTGTGCACTGAGATAATTATGGGCATCCTTTCCTATAGGCAAGCCTTGAAAAATGAGAATCTACAACACTTTTTTTTTAAATTGTAAATCTAGAATTAGGAGATGGAAGCCTCCCTGTCCAACCAAACACACCGCTGTAAAACAACAAACTTTGCTCAATCTTTAGATCATTCAGATTCAGATCAAGGTAAAGACTGCAGGCATCTGTCCCAGAATGTAATACTTATTACACTCTTTTGCCCTCTGTATTTTCTGCATGAACTTGTTCAGACTGCAGCTCTACCACTGTAGAGACAGAACAGTAACTCGCCATCAGTCCTGTCTGAAAGCACCAGAGCGCGTGACATAAGCACGTGATTCCATCTATGATTATTTCTATGATTATTTCTATTATATTCTGTGATTATAGATCCTCCAAAGCTACACACCTCCCTGGATGTTTCAGAGATATTGCAGAGGTGACACATTTGAGTTGTGAGATATATGGGCACTGTGTTTTCACCATGTAGATATCCCTCTGTCTGCATCAAGGATCCCAGGGGCCTTACAAGTCTCTCTCCATTCCTCAAGTCCCATATCCTCATATGTTGTAGGGTCTTGCTCTTGAAAGCCACTCCAAAGCAGCCAGACCCTTCAGCTACCATCTGTTCACACTCTTCAAAAGATTTTACATACTGGTCAGACTGGAGAGATGCTAAAGAAATGTCAATAAAAAGCATGGCACAATTTGACACTCCCTGCCCTTCAGTGGAGGCCAAATGGGATCTCACTCAAGAGCCGGGACAGATTCGTTCATGCAAGGGGAGCCACGCTGTGGGCTTCACCTGCCACTCTTGGCTCTTGCTGGTGGCTCATTGCCAGCATGATGCCTTTTTGGTGAGGACACGGACAAATAGCATAGCTGAAGAAGTCAATTCTTAAATATATTAAAGTAGATCAGCATTACCCGAAGAGGAGAGCCTAGAAGTGCCCCTCTCCATTCACTCTATAGACGTTGCTGCATTAGCACTCAGCCCTGAGACGTTAAGGGGCTGGATAAGCAGAACAGCTTTGTCTAAAAAGTTTGACTTGCATATGGGGAAAAAGGAAGGCAGAAGCTGCTGGATAGCTCCTTTCCTGGACAAAGACTTTTGTTTTTTAAATTGCAGAATTAGGTGGAAGGAAAATGAGTTGCTGCTTTGACAAGTTTTATCTCTTCTCAGTGCTACACTGCATTCTCTCTGGAGGGGGCGGAAGGTTCAAATCTTGTCAAATTGCACAAATTAGTGATGGAAAAGTCTCTCTGGGCTGTACCCCACCTGAGCGGGGGACTGTCTTGCAAGACAGCGAGTTTGCTTCTCCTGATCTCAAATGTTCTCTGCTCTGAAGCTTCCATTCCTTTCTTTCAGAGCTCAGGCAAATGTTATCCTAACTTCATCCTGTTCTTCTCTGCTTTCTTTTCCAAGGCCTTGTCCACCCTCAGATATTTGTAGCACTTTTGTTCTCACACCCAGCTTTTATATAAGTTGTAAGCTATATGCATTCCTTTCTCTTTCCCAGATGCCAAACCCTCCACGACAAAGGCACAGACTAATCCTTCATTGCTCAGGTGAGGCACAAATTGCTTTTCAAAGCTTCAGCTGGAATGTTTTCCGATAGAAGATGAGGTGGCAGAGGAAATGCAGGGTCAGAGGTTGGCTTCAGCTATGCTGCTGTGAATTTCCTCATTTCAGCAGTGTTTCTCAAAGCTTACAGTCATAGGAGAGCAGAAGTTTCATGCCATATTCTTTTTTCAGTCTTTGTTCCCTCTCCGTTATGGAAAAATCCTAAAGTGGAGAGAGAGGACATGAAAAATCTGCCTGGGGATCGATAAATCTCTACGCAGAACCTGGATCTTGACTTTCCTTTGTGGGAAAGGGAATGGTTTGGATCCATTTCTACTGCACGGGTGAGAACACCATCACAAACATCCATGAAGTCTGCAACGTTTCTAACCAACTGATGGCAGAAACAACTGGGAAGAATACAGCTTGACTCCTGCTTCACACTGTGCATTTGTTTTCCTCTCTATATATGTAACCCCAAGATTTTAAAGTGGGAGAAAACTGGGCAGGTTAGGAAAAGTTGGAGCACTCTAAGTCTACTATGCTCTCTGAGCACAAATGCAATGCAATGGCACTAACATTGCCATTGTGCAATGCAATGGCACTAACAGAAAAGCTTGGCACCGTAAATCCTTAGCAGCAGTTAAAGGTGACTGCTGCAAAGTCAGTCATTAACGTGCCACAGCTCTCGTCTTGCAGAATCCTGCACCTGAGGGACACTTCTTAATCATGTCAGAGGGGACCCCCAGCAAGGCTCAGTGCAGTGCCTGGTTTCATAAGGCAGAGCGTGGTTGCATTCAGTTCCCAAAGGAGCCATTGGAGGCTGGAAAATGTGATTTTACTGCCTCAGCACCGGCCCTGCAGTAGCAGCAGGTAGCAGTCCCTTACAGCACTCCTGCTGCCATGCTCAGCAGTGGGGTAGGTGCAAAGGAAGAACTTTCCTTACAGACCACGCTGAGCTCAAGCTGAAGACCCCCTTATCTCACCGCCTCCTTGGTCAGTGATCTTACTGGAGAGATTTTTCTGAAAAGTCCATTTGATACAATCTCTGAATGTCTTTTAGGAGGTACTTACATGAATATTATGCATTTATTTATTTATTATCTGTTGGATGACTGCTTTATCCCTGAAAACCTCCGTTTTCTGCCCCAAATCTGAAAAGTTAGTGGCTCCTAGTTGATACATATTATCCTTGGACACATTAGGTTGGGACCATCTAGCCCTCATCCTTCTTGTTCCTCATCTCTCTGAGCAGGCAATGCTATTGCTGAAAGACATGACAAACATGTCCTCCCCTGCTGCTAAACTATCTGAGTTAGGAAAAAAAATGATAATTAAAGGATCTCACAGACGGTTTTACTCCGCAGGTGGCCCAAGTGGAGCAGCAATGCTGGGCCTGAAGCCTGTGGGAGGCTGATGCTGATGACAGAAATTTGGCTGGCTCTTCCAGTGCGCAAGGTGTGCATGTGCCAACCTAATCCCTCTCTTGCGACCTGCATAGGCCGGAGCAGGTTGCAGGCTTGCTCAGCCGGGGCCCTCAATGTGACACAGCGAGGTTTGCAGCGATGCTGCTGTGGGAAGGCTCTGCTTTGGAGGCTCATGTTGATACCCAGCACCCACAGCCTGGGAGCCCTTGCTAGGTCTCTGCCACCTACCAAATGCATCCGGGTGCACAGGCAGAACCAGTCCCGGGAGGAGCAGCCAATGCAACCGCAACGACACTGCGGCTCTAAGTCTTCAGCCTACACCCCTGAATTTGTCTTTGCAACTTCTTGCCGCCCTTCAACCCATTTCTGTGCAACACAGACCGTGGCCCATGGAGATGTCAGATATGATCCTCTGCATATGTTTAAAAGTGTTTAAACTGGCG